CTATAAGAAAATCAGTTGATATAATACCACCAATGGTTTTCGATTTTGGATGGGCACTTGGACAAAATGACTCATATAACGGTTGTCAAATAATTGCAACACAAAAACCTCCATCAAGATAGCGCCATAACATGTTATAACTCTGTAGTCTGAACAAAGAATAAGACATCATTTTGATTCGAAGTGACGTTTTCGAGCTATGATTTGTTTAAAAACAGCCGAAAATCCGTCTCTAATATTTTTTTTATATTTTTTATTAAAAAACTTTTATAAACTATGCTGTTTTCTGTACAATTTCCATGTTGGACAATTATTAATTATCATAGAACAACATCTTTTGGACACATTTTTATCTTTTGTTTATACAGTTTTGTGTGAAATTTTGCACATAATTCTATTTTTTTAGACTTTCAAATGTTGACAATTTTTACCAATTGTTGTTGTACTATGATTTATGTTTATTTTTAAGTGTCCAACTTGAACATTTCACAGAATATAGCATTGAATACCAAATATTACAGGAGGTTATTTTTTATTGCTTATATATTTTTTTTTAAATTTTTTGCCCTACACTAATTTAAATTGTTAAATTTTGTGTCAAACGTCATTTTTATTTAAAGTGACGGTTTCGAGTTATGATGTGTTGAAAAATATCGAATTTAATTTTTTGGTAAGATTCAAAAGGGTCGAATTTTAGCTGATCATAACGAACAATTCTAGATTACTTTTTCAAAGGGACGTATCTGCTTTTGTAAGCGATTCAAACGTCCATTTGTCGAAACTCTTAACACTCCCACGCACACTAACACTACCATCAGAAAGGGTACTGTTTCCACAACAACATGGTGTTAGTTTGCGTGGGATTGCTAAGAGTTTCGACAAATTGCGTTTGAGTATTTGTTCACAAAGCAAATACGTTCCGTGGAAAAAGTTATCAAGATTTACGCAAAGTTTCACACAAATCGGAGAAGTTCGAGTTTGAAATTAAATTTTTGAGCTTATGGGTATGCACGGAGGATTTGGCATAAAGTAAAAAGCTAATAACTTTTTGCACTGAGGTATAATTGATTTACGATTTTCGACAAAGTTGTATTGTATAGTTTTCTCGATCTAAGTCTCAAGTTTCGTAAAAATTTACATTTTTTTGTTTCGTACCGTTTCCTACATAAACTTCACTTCAAATTTGTCCCGAAAATCCAGATTATAACCAATTTTTTTGTTCAAGCTTGGCACAGTTGCTGGAGATCTTAATGCAGATCAATATAGCAGTAGAGAGCAGGGCTTGTATGGTTGACCCACCCTAAACACCATTTTACTACATTCCATATTGATGCAGAAAAAAAAACAAGGCATACTTTAAACAAATTTATTAATTATGGATGTTCCGGATCTTTCGGCGGGCCATTTGACGACCACTAAAGGCCCAAGCGTAATGCCAGCGGAAGCGAAACGGCAGCGGCAGCGGCAGCGGAAAAGCCCGATCTGAGTAAGCGTACTTGTCGGATTGAAAACTAGTTATAACCAATTCGACTTCGGTTAGGTATCTTGTTGTCATTTGTGACAACTGTCACAACTTGCTGTTTTCGTTCCACTTCCACCCACATTGCGTTTGGGACTTAAGAGTCTGATCAAAAATAATAATTATACTACATTCCACTTGTTGCACATAAAATCATAGCTTACTTTGATCATTAATTTCTATAAGCCCATTGTTGTGGTTTTACAGCATCACCTTGTTCTAGACGACTGATACATCTGTCCCCGCTAGCTGACGTCATGGAACGCAGAATAAAACCGTAAACACTTGGCCAATCCTCACCAAGTAAGGCGGGTGGCGTTGAGTTTAAACGCTATTAACTTTTCTGGATTAACTCGGATTGACATCCGGTCTTGAGCAAACTTGTTCCCCATACCCCGGTTATTCATTTTTCACAACATAAAATTCGAATACCTACAGAGCCAAAAATGTAAAAATTGCCTCATTCCCCATAAATTTTGAAGACTTTTCATATTCAAGCCCTTTGGGGTACTACTTCCCGTGACCCAAATGGCTTAAATTTTTAGTGAGGTGTTTCTAATTCCCATCCCAGGTTATTCCAGGGGGTAGCGTTTGAAATTCCCGACTTCGTATTTTTTCATATAAGGCTACGTACAAGGTGGCAGCGCCACATCGATTTAGTATTAACAGCTTGCTCACTGAAAGCAGACGAAATTCACACAGTTTGACACGAAATTACATTAAAATCTGTCTACTGAGGAGCACGGAATCTGATAAATGCTAAACATTATAGTTTGAAGATTGGTTTTAGATTTTGCAATGGAATAATTAAAAATTACAATTGAAAAGATATGTTTTGCCAATGAAAAATGTAGTATATTTCATAAATAATTAAATAATTTCTGAAAGTAGCAAACTGAAATAGTTTGGAAAATTACCTGTGTCAATGTTTTTGTTGGAAAAGTTTGGAGATTTTCACTGGATCTGCTTCTAAAGTTTTAGTGTATTTTTTTTTCAATTGGATATTCTTCAATTGCTTATGGAAGATTTGGGATTGTTTATTGGCAAAGCATTTATTTACCATTAGCTCTTCATTATTCCTAAAATGGCATCATTCTCATAGTTTAATGAGGAAAAAGTAATAGAATCTGTACCTAGGGACACGAACGGAAACTTGACGTAGGACCGCAATTGGTCGGTGCATTTGTTTTTAAGTTTGATTATTTTAATTGTTCAAAAATCTGTAATTTAAATTCTATAATTTTATAAATGGTGGCCCTAGAAATGGCAGTTTGTTGTTTTATCTGCATGCTAAAGGGCAACTAAATTGCATGTTTGTATGGGCAACATAGGCATAATTTAACATGTGCCATTGATGCTACTTTATTTTTTGGCTTTTTTGAAGAATAGCTTTCGATTTTTCAGAAATTTCAAAATAGGTTTTTGTTTACTGAAAGTTAGCACTATTTGCTATCATTAGTAATCAATGGATATTAGTTTCGACTTGTGACCAGTGATGGAAAAGTTCATTAAAGTTCCCTATGACTCGCGAACTTTTCCCTTGGAAAACTTCGTGAAATATCGCGAACTTTTCCAACACTGCTTGTGACAGTATAGCATGAAAAGGACAATTTCAGTACCAAGCACTGAAATTATTAAACGGTAACTCTATTTATGCTTTTGTTAGTCCCTTCTACTTGGAAAATTATGCTATGCAACGGCTTGTTATGCCCCACCTCAATTATACTTTTCCGGATTTTGTTGTTGATGGTAACGGGTATAGAGATTGGGGAATACTGAGATCTGTAGGCGCTTTCTCCACGAATACTGTGAGCGAGTTTGTACTTCTTTGCCATGATGATGACAAGCAACTGTTTGCGGGGAGCCTTTCCTCTGGTCCGCATATACATAGTCTGTGTTGAGCTGCTTCGTGATGAACGATATCAACACATCCGAAGTTCGAATTTTTTTTTCCTTGAGTTTTTTCCGTCTATCTTGTTTTCCGTGCTGAGCACCAATGCTACCGACGCAAGATAGGCAGCTCCCACACCTGGACTCTACCTATCGACCCATCAACTCATGAACCCCGAACCAACGGCTTTACTTCCCTTCCGAAGGAGGGCGTTCTTAGTTGTTTAACTATTTTCACTATTTGTAGTTTTTCGGAGACGAGCCAGCCAACGGCTGAAAGTCTCCTTAATAAAGATATAAATAAAAAAAAAACTATTTGTAGTATATGCCAAAACAATGCTGGATAAACTCCCCGTCGAATGGTATATTGTATGACATATTTCACATTAATGCTGTGGAGAAATATGCATTTGAAAACACCCCCTTTCTCGTTACATGCCTCATTTTTGAATTCTTAATGTGTACCCCAGAATATAGTAAAGGAAGACGTAGTCCTATGTCAAAAATATTTCATACCGTTGTTTTTAATCCTCCCCATGCAGTTTTTCAATTGAATTCTCAACTCATTGTTCGTGTAGGTTTCTTGACCATTTCAGTAAATCTGTGACATATAAAATGGTTAATACTTATGCCGTTTATATGTTTACCATTTCATTTTTTGTACTCAAGAATGTATGAACCACATTTAAATTGACGTTGATTTGGGATTTTCGTGTTTATAAAATTGAGTATAAAGTGAAAAGAGACAACAACTTCTCAAAAAATATATGAAGCGATGAAACCGGCTCGTTCAACGCCTAATATTTCAATAGAAGACGACGGCGATCAAGATGAGGATGGCGTTGTTTTAAGAAGAAAGCATTCCGTGTTTTACTACGGGTAAGTGGTTGTTAATGAATATACCAGATGTTACATTTCTAGCGTTGATAAAACACTTCAATGAAGTGACATACTTAATGTGATGCAATTTCGATGTTGCATTAGTTGTATGATTGGATTGAGTGGATGTGAATCGAAGCACGGAGTGTGAATATGTGTGTGGTTGAACATAAAGGTATATTTACATTGGTCATTGGCGATAGCAACAAGCTATTGAAGTATTAATGCAATTATTTTTAATTAGTTCAGCTATTCACGTGGGAAGAGCAAATTCGTCATATCACGTGTTATCCATCAACGCCTTTCAAAGTTATCGAGCTACGGGGATTGGATTACCTACTTATATGGTTATTTGTATTGTATTTTTTTTTTGACTTGTAGGATTTATAGAATCGTTCAACGAATAGAATAATTTCATTCATGCCATTCTAAAAGTCTCCTTTTGCCCTTTGGCTTAAACGATTCATAGTTCTCCAGTCATAAGGTACTACTTTTAATAATGGATGAAGGAAGAAAAGATGCTTAGCAGTAGTGTGGGAAAATGACATCAACTAGAAACCTGCATTTGATTGCGAATAAACTTGACCTTGCCGACATTGCAATCGAAAGAAATGTAATATTGATAGATTCCTTTTCTAACGTATACCTACTGCCACATTCACTACTTATTGATTCGGTCTACATTGACATTAATTTCTCTGTTCCGTTGCAGATCTTTAAAATCTCTTACGTCCTCTCCACTATCGGTATCGCCAACCATAAGAAGCTCCAGTCCACATCCGTCAAAATCAGTCGCCAAAAATGATGCCATCGAGAAATCAGAGAAGCCAGAAAAGGAAAAAAAGAAAAAAGAGTACAGCAGTTCCAGGCAGAAAAAGTTCTCCCGGCACTTCATACAGGTGGAAGATGAGAAGGTTCTAAATTGTGAGTAACGAGAATTTGTTGTATTCGTTTGATAAAACGTTAATTTATTTTTTCAACCTATGTATATGAACTGTAACAAACTAAAATGTAAAAACATCATGTTTCGCTTGAACATATTTGTGGTTTCACTTGAAATTCCATTTTACACGATTAAAAGACGATTTTGGGTTTCTTCTTCTTATATTGGCTATTTTACTAAGGGGCTGCCTACAAACCACGTGGACAGTTTTCAGAGATTTAGACTCCCTTTCCCCGGGAAACCTAAACCACGAGGTACTTGGACTGCCTCAGTGTGTAAGTGGAGCTTTAAACAGCCTACCCGAGCAAAGTCTGAGATCAAATTGAAATCTAAATTTGATGTTGTGATTTCGCTGATAATGATTACTCAGGTTGCTGTCGTTTTGGTCGTTTTAACGGTTGAAATATCAAAATTTAAAGCAAAAAATCTTCCTGTGACATCACATTGAAAACTATTTCTGCTATCAGTGAGAGCAAACTGAAAACTCAATTTGATATCCATTTTTCTTGTTGATAACACAACAAGTAGGAGTACCCCATTTGGCATAATGGTCGTTTGATATAATGGTTGTTTGGCATAAGTTCGGAAAATAACAGTTATCATTTAATGTTATCATTTTGAGCATAAGCTGTTCTTTTATATTTTATGAAGAATCGATTATGATAAAAAGCAGTCATGACCGTAAGATACTATAACATATTTTTTTCGTATTTATGCCAAATGGCAATTATGCCAAACAGCAGTTATATCAAGCGGTATTCTAGGTATATAATTGATATAATAATATTATGTAACGTTAATGTGTTATATTAATATTAGAAGATCAATAAATGTTTTAGAAGATTTAGTAAATTAGGCTCAGTCGGTAAAGGCGTAGCAGGAGGTGGCAGAGTTTGAATTCGGTCCGGTGTAGGAATTTTTCGGGTTGGACAATTTCTCGACTTCCCTGGGCATAAAGTATGGCTGCCGAACAATTATACTAATGCTAAAAAATGGTACCGGCATCGAAAGCTCTCAATTAATAACTGTGGAAGCACATGTAGAACACTAAGTTGAGAGCATGAAATTAGCTAATATGAGATCAGGGGCTGTTCATTAAATACTTAGACAGTTTTTTTGGGATTCTTGACCCTCCCCCTCCCCCTGCGTAGACAATTGTCAATACATTTTTTTCAATTTGTATGGGCCGTGGACAGCCCCTAAGCAATAAGCTTGAAATGCGAAGAAGAAGAAGAAGAAGAAGAAGAAGAAGAAGAAAAAGAAGAAGAAAAAGAAGAAGAAGAAGATAACATGAATGATGAACCTCATAAACATTTCTGCACAGGCTCTTATTTTAGGGTTATGAATCAAACTGGAAGGTGATCTATAAGATTGCAAACAGTTTTGAAGCACTTTAGTAAAGAGTTGTTAAATACTAACATGCGCTATCACACGTCCGGTTGTATTGGTGCAATAATTTAGAGCGTATTAGTGCAAATCTGAGGAAAATACATAACAAATCGCTGCCAAACTTATTTTAACAAATCTAATTTCATATATTTTTAGGTTAGTCAGAGGAAAATAATAAACAACTTCACACGGCGATGCACCCGCAAGTGTGCGTGCGTTAAACGTCAATGATTTTTTTAAAGACCGAACTGTGCAGCGGTCATTACTCAATTCGTTGTTGTGACGCAAAATGGCATTGCAGCCGTTTATGCTTAGTCCACTATAAATATGAAATCACTCCCATTTGACATTAGTCGTTTGCCATGTAACGAACATAAAAATACACTCGTTGGGGAGTATCCATTTAGTACGTCACACGAAATTCTGGAAAAATCAACAAACACCCCCTCCCTCTTCCCATCTCCCTTTCATCACTTTTTTCCTATACTTTATACATTGCTGGTCACATATTTTTGTACACCCCCTTAAAACGTGACGTACTTAATGGATTGCCTCTTGTTGACTTCTTGTTAGTATTATTGGACCAAGCAATTAGTAGCCATGCGATTTTTTTTACACAAAAGTCCCGTTTGTGATTTGCGTAATTACTTACTATGCGATTATTCTTTATTTGGGTACTGCACTGAAACATCCCATAACCAAATGTTAATCTTAGCGTGAAAATGCCGTTTCCGCCATGTTTCGTAGATGCTGCAAACTTTGTAGCAAGCAATTAATTAGGTTGTTTAATTTCTAAAAACATACCAGTTTTTATACATCATCTGAAAGAGCGTTGTTTTCAGAGCACAACGATATTTTTATCGATCCTATAGGCATTCATCTCGATTTTAAAATCAAGATTTAAATTTTTAAATTTTTGGCATTAAACCTATTAGTTGACAGCTCGCTCCTATACAAAGTCCTACCGAAGGGCACTTATTTATAATAGTTCTAGAGCACCAACATTGATGAAATTTTGGATTTCGGTTTTATTGTTGATGTAGATTACGAATACGTACTTACGTCAATACCCCTATATAACCCAATATAGAGATTGCTAAAATGTGATTGCGTCAGTGATTTGTTTTCATCAGGAAAATTTTCCGATATGATTTTTTTTTTCCCTGAAGAAAACATTTTGCGTATACGTATACGTGACGTAGTGTGCGTACGATAAACGTCAGCAATCTCTATAAACTTCAAAATGCCAGTGCTGTATGAGTTCACATCCAAATGAGCCCAAATTTTGGGAATATGATCAGGACCTGATTTTGAATCGATTGAGCTTGGTGGAGCAACCACCCTAATATCCAATATTAAAATAGGGGATCAATTTGTGGGAATCCCAGGGCTATGTGACACAGGAAAACACAATAACCGCACTACCGGGTCCTTGCTTGTATTTTTTCTTCATCAAAGTGACTTTCAGGCAGGGCCTGGTTCGTCACTTCAACTTGTTTTAGGAATTATGAAACAATGAGATATTATAATGATAATTTGTATATGCAAGATGCAAGAAGGGGATGTAAAGTTTGTGTATGACAGATTATCGCACTCAGTGATCATAAAATCGCTAATTGTGACCCTTTGAAAGCAAAATTGACAGGTTTTATGTGAGAGTTGGGAGGAAATGCTATACTAATATCAACATGAAGCTTTAGTAACTCGTAAACTTCTCGTATGAAGTAACAAAACACTTTGATTGAATGTAATAACTCAAGGCGGGAGTAACCGCCAACAATGCTGATGATGGTACAGCACGCAACACTGCTTCTCTCTGAGATGACTACGTTGATCATGACGAGAGAAGCAAAACACTAGTTGGGTAAAGAAGAATTGCATTATTACACACCATCGCGCATCGGCTGGAAATGGTAGTACTTAATAAGCGTCGCTAGATCTATTCCATATCCGCAGACAGTATTTGAACGCACTCTTTTGCCTGTGGTTTTGAGGACCTACCTCAAATCCCCTCATCCATCAAAGTGTGAGTTAGGTAAAGGCATTACATTAGTATTGTCGCATTAATGGCCCTTCGCTCAATTTCAACTTCTGTTCACTTTTCACACGGTCGTACCCTAGCGGAACTACCAATCTATCCTCTTCAGAACTTTCGCTAGCTAATAAATTATCGCACTAAAGCTTCATGTTGATATTAGTATAACATTTCCTCCCAACTCTGAAAAGTCGTATATTTCACTTATAGAGATCTCCAAGCGCAATCTCACGAACACTAAAACCCAACATCCATATATAAAATTGAAGAATAAGAAAAATCAAAAAGGTATCGCGATATCAGCTAAATCTCTCCCGAAATCGTTTTTCAGCTCTGTTAGAGACAAACAGAAGTCAATAATCCTTCAAAAATTTACCTAGACAACAAAACAGGAAAAACGACTAGCGAGATCAGTAACTTATTTGCTGAGTTTTTTCAGGATATTTACACAAGTCATGATGACCAAGACCGGGATTACCAGTATTTATCATACTTTCCTGAGCCAATGAGAGATATTGTAGTTGATAATGTTACCCTCAACGAAATCTTACATTCTCTAAATACATTGGATACATCAAAGGGTGCAGGACCAGATCGATTGCCATCAGTAATCAGTATCGCAGGAGATAGCAAAGCCATTGTTTTGGCTGTTCAACTCTTCTCTCGAATCCTGTTTTCTACCGTCAATTTGGAAGGAATCGTTTTTGATTCCAATTTTCAAAAGTGGTGATAAACCAGACGTAAAAAATTACCGTGGAGTTGGTATATTGTCCTGCATTCACAAACTCTTTGAATCTATAATAAATGTGTTCGCACAAGTTAAGTATTTAATTACAGGCAAACAGCATAGTTTTGTTAAAGGACGTTCAACGATTACTAAACATTTTCTAATAATGCAATGGATAAGGGACATTATGTTGAAGCACTATATACTGACTTTAGTAAAGCGTTTGATAGAGTTGATATCCCTCTTTTGCTATTCAAATTATCTAAGTTAGGTTTTCGTCAACAATTATTGAAGTGGATTCAGTCATACTTGACCGGTAGGACAGATTTGAAGGAGATTTATCGTCAGTAGTCAATATAACATCTGGTGTGCCACATGGTTCCCATCTTGGACAATTACTGTTTATTATATTTGTTAATGATGTAGAGCACATATTGTATATCCTGAATGTCTCAATATATGCAGACAAATTAATCAACTTGCCAACATAGAATAGACTATTACATTTATTTTGGTGGCACTCTTTAAATGATAATAAGCTTTTTTCTCGTTTCGGTTGTTTCGCACGGCATTCGGAATTCGCGCGGTTTTCGTAACTTACATAATTTAGATATCTTGAACTATCTTGAAACAATACACACGGAATCCAGTGTTCAAGCTGCCAACTGCCAACATAATTCCTAAATCCCCGAGACATTTATGCTGGGTCGTAGAGTTCTCTGCATCTCTCTTAAGTAAATGTTGGACTAACATACCTTTCCTATCCCTACCAGTTGTAAGCACGGGGCCAAGACAATCCTTAACTGTTGGAGCGGGATATGTCTTTAAAAGGGAGAGAGTAATTATTTATTATTTATTACTATCTGTTAAGTAATAGATATCCGTCTTGCTCTTAATAGTTTTGAATTCGTACCACCTACGATATTGTGCAACTTGTTCGATGCTAATGCTAATGCTAAATAATTATGAGCACTATACAACAACTATACACAAATTATACAAGTGTGACCATGGATGTGCTTATAATATATTATACAAATAATGCTCATGCTCATATTTTGTCATCCAAATGTGTCCACGGCATAACTACGGCATGCATAGCGCTATCATTGGTCTTCAAAGATTATTCAACAGTGTGGCATCTGTGTTTGACACTCACATGCCACGTGAGTTACTGCGACGAAAATTTACCTCTCTCTCTCTTCGTAAAGAGTTGTTTTTAGATTTTAGTAAATTTTTTATTAGGTATATGACAGTCAGTAGTGTTAACTAACCATCATTGCGGCCACGAGTCATGTTGATGCAAAATTGAAATAAAATAAATAAATAAATGGGATACTTGTGAACCAAACAGTCCCTAGTTTATATGCCTACATGCACCCTCTTTAATATATTCAAATCTTTATTTTCTATTTTTCAGACTTTTCATGCGCATTAATTAGTGATATCCTTCTGCAAGGCCATCTTTATGTGACGCAAAACTATTTTGCATTTTACTCCAATGTTTTTGGTTATGTAACAAAGGTAATAGCATTAAGATGGATTGCGTAAACTATAACACTTACGTTACGTTTGCTATTGATTCGCAGCTGTTGATTCCGACGGTGTCAGTGATAAAAATCTCCAAGGAGAAGACAGCCAAAATGTTCCCGAACGCGGTCGGAGTCACAACCTGTGACGATCGTCACGTGTTCGGTAGCTTCATGAGCCGCGAAGCCGCGTACCGATTGATGTGCAGTGTGTGGCGCCCGGTTGCACCAGTGGAAATTGAGGAACCAATAGCACAGAAATCACCGGACGTCGAGGTGTCCGAATGCTCGGTGGAGGATGACAGCAGCTGCTCAATTAGTGGTAACGAAAGTTCTTCCCAAGTGAAAGATAAAAAGTCTGACGTAGTTGATTCGGGTGATTCTAACGATAAGCTAACGGTGATTGATGGCATTAAGCGGTCTCTCGATGGTGAGTAATGTAAGCTTTTGGAGCAAAGCCCCGTGACCTAATTAGGTATTACAATTCTTACAGTTTCGAAAAGTATTAAATCGGTACAGAAGGAGATAATCATCAAAGCACCAGCGGCACTGATAGCATCCGCAGCAATTTTGAAGACATCCGGCAACGCCACTCTTAGAGAAAAATCCAGCTTTAGTGATAACCCCTATCAAAGTAGTAGTACTAGTAACGCTAACACTAGCATTCTAACGAGACTTAGAAATAGGCTACAACAAATCTTTCCCTCCGATTTTGGTGTTATACATGTAGGAATAATTTTAGCGATAGTCTTAGCACTGTTTTCGTGTTTTCTTATGTACAAAATACACTACCTGCAGTCGCGGATATATAGTTTCAACAACTTCCGATGGGTTAGTATAGTTGATGGCATGTAAACGGGTTTTCGTTAATTTGTTGATCGATTTTATTGCAGGGTGAAGACGATAATATGGACGTTTACGCAGAAGTGCTGAGGTGGCAGAAGCAAATGCAAGACAGAAGCACTGAGGAGGCTCAAATAGTTCTCAATTCCAATTTAGAGCAAATTGCAAAGGTATGTAAATATTGCCAATTGTCGCGATTCGTTCGGTGCAGTTGATGTATATACAGCTGACTGCATCATTCGCCATAGCCGTAAGCAACAAATCTGTAAATTATTGTATCTTATGTTTTATTCAACGCCCTTCCAACACGTGTGGTCAATTATTGTTCTAAACTATCCATTCACATGTTTGAACCGTGAACGTGATAGCTGATATTAACAACAAATTAATTGTAAGCGATATTATCATGGTTTTCCTCCTAATTTCCGATAAGAGTTGCCATAAAATAAAATAGTTTTTCCATGTTCCTTATTTTACTTTACTAGGAAATTCAAACGCTTAACACCGACGGAGCTTTTAGCCGAATCGGTTGAGAAATACATTTTCAAGAAAAATTTTAATGTAAAAAAGCGTGAAATTTCAGTTTGTACAGGCACGTTTTATCTCTGGTTGAAAATTGATGCATTTTTTTTTACTCTTTATTATATAGTCAACTTTACATTTTTCAAAATTGAACCATCAAAATAGTGATAGATCGATATTCAGGACAATAATTTATTAGCCTACTAGAACGATTCTAGAATTTCTTCGAGCTTAACAAGTTTATTTGTTTATCCCGTATCCAAAGCAAACCTCGATCGTTTATTTAAAACATAGGAAAAAGTAGTGAACTAGATTTTGACGTAGGATTACGTCTTTCGGCAATATATTGGGGGTGCAATTTCAAAAATCCAAAATCGACCGCGTTACGAAAAGTGGTCAGGATTTGACTACTTATAATTCTGTCAATAGTAGATGGATATTAATTTTAAGCAAGTTAATAGATGACATTCCAATCTACGAATCTGCTAAAATAAACACTTTATCAATTTTCAATAGGTCACTATTGAAAATTGCACGAAGGTGCCAATGTTGCAATAATACTGAACATTATCACCAATTGACTAAGAACAGCGCTTTCCTAACACAGATTTACGAATTTATATGGTTGATCGCAAATATCTCGCGATGGAAAAAATTTAGCAAAGAAATTCAAACAATTTTAACTTTTTTTTATCTATTGAATAAGCCAAACATTCCGTGCGTTTGGTCACGAGACATTTCCGTGATGGGAACAGTGGTTTCCCTAACACAGTCGCCGATTATTGATACCGAGCACTGAACATGCCAGACGGTACCTATCTTTATGACTTTTGATGCTAATTTTAAGCCCCTCCTATTAAGAGAATTATGCCACAAAAAATCTTGCCGAATTCTCTTAATAGAAGAGGCTTAAAATTTGCATAAAAAGCATGAACCGGACGGTACATGCTCAGTTTCTGTGATTGATGTGTTTTCCCTAATACATATTTCATTTCCGCACCGCTATCATATCCAAGAACATTGAGGAAAAAAATTCCATAGCATTGTTCTAAACTGGTTTCCAAGCTTCCAAGCCATCGGTCTTTTAGGACCAAAAATGACTGATAAAAGAGTTTACTTAAGACTTCAAATAAGAGTATGTATCCCAGACATATCGTCCAGGACACCGACATAGCACCTCAAAAACAGAACTCTCAAATTACTTCCGAATCGAGTTAAGGTGTAAGTAATTTAATATTTACCATACTTTTGCTGCGACATCAAAACTACTTTCGAAATCCTACGTCAAATCTACGGTCGTGTCTTGCGTACAATCTCTTACTTTTTTTTTTATCGACAGGAGAGCAATTTTTTCCTAAATATTTTCTAGTGACCATCGACATAGAGAGATATCGAGATAAAGGGAGTAAGGAACTGCCCAAATTATCGAGCTAGGTAAAAACATCGAGATATAGAACATCAAGAAATAGATAATTGACTGCAGTCACTTTAACACTTTGGCATGAGAGGCATAAATGTTAACCAATATATAAAAAGCCATAATTAATTTACCTATGGTGATGTCCGACCCTTCTTACAAATATAAATTCTTTGAAAAGTGCTCATATGATATTTTTGCGATCTGAAATAATGCGTTGAAAAAAAAGGCCTTATATTTTTTTGAAAATGCATCAAAGTAAATTGAATCACATGTAATTTTTGCAGTGCGGCCTACTACCAACCGCTGAAAACTAACGATTTTAAATTGGCTCACTACTTGACTAGTCCATTGGTCCCAAGTATATCTACACGGTTAGAAAAAAGTACCCAAAATTAAGTTCTTTTCACTCATCTCAGCACTATAGTGCAGGAACCCAAAAGTAGGTAAACCGGGTCAAAGTTTTTTTTTTTATTATTATTATTATAGTCACTTTAACACTCTTGGGTCATTCGCGACTTGTCCGGGGGTGAGATTTGAACTCGTGACTTTGGCGTGAGAGGTATGGATGTTAACCACTACGCCGGGGTCGCCCCCTATTCGGGTCAAAGTAATTTTCATTTACTTGTGTGCAGTTCGTATGGAATTTTCCACTGGCTTTTTAACCAAAACTAAGTTAGTAGTACCCAACAGTAGGCAAATATGATTATACTCAACGTTGGGTTCCCACACTTTACTACCACTGTTGGGTGGTTTTGCTCCTCCGTTTTTGACAACATTAGACGGAGAAAAGGAGACAAACTAGTCAAAAGTAGGTAAAAGTGAACTGGCCGTTGGGTACTTTTTTCTTACCGTGTATAAGCGTACAGATAAAATGAGGGGTTCGTGGATTTTCCTTTGTTTCGATTAGCTTTGGACCAAAGATAGTACCAGAGCTGAGCCAAAAAGTTGAGCACCTTTCTTCGGGACCTTCTGGTCTTAGAGTAACCTCTATGCTACTATAATCCAGCTATAAAAATTAGCGGTAAGTGGCATTTTGGGTAACGGGGTATTTTTTGGGAATGACATTTGGGGGACGCATTCGGGTAATGTTATAGAATCAATTTCACCTGCATACATGCATCAAGCAAAATTCGCTAATTTGACCACTTAATATTTTATTCCTTAGGTACGAAAAAGTCTGGAAACTTTATCAATACTTTTGCACGATTCTACCAAGAAGTATGGTATAAGCAGTTCAAATGCCGGTGAAGTACCTGGCTCTGCTGGCAGTACGATTCTGGAATCCACCTCCGAATACGGGACGTAGCAAGCAAACTCTGGCGCATCACGGTAGGCGGAAATGTGATGCAGCAGCAGTTGTAGGGATTTTTTTTATCATTAACTTATCGTGATATTTAGTTCTAAGTATTTATTCACAGAATAAGCTATGTTTGCATTTAAAAAAAGTTAGTAACAACAATTACAAAGCAAAAGGTGTGCGCAGGATCGGTCACAGGAAATAATTAGTTAACAGACGTAAAAGACAGCTTATTATAAACAAAACGAGTCAACAAAGTGTTTTAGGTAGCCAAGATTCCTTCACAACTCTCCTTGGTTCTAGTGTTTAGGGCAATTATTCCTGTCCCAGCTTAGCTGGATAAGATTAAATTGTTTTTCTTTATAGGAGTTCTGGAAAGGTGTCTCAAGTTTACTGATATAATAACACGAACTAGTCATATGACATAAAACGCGAAGATTGGACAAGGTCCATTGGGTCAATGGTTCTCTAATTGAATTTAGAATGATTTTTCACAAAAAAAAAACAATATATTCCCATGGGTAATATTTTGTTTTGGGATGCGCCATAAATTCTTAGCTCGTGCCGTTCGGTACATGGTGATACACGATACATGAATTCCAACAACTTCGAACTATACGAACCTGAGTAATGTATATCGTATAAAATCCCAATGTTTTGTCAATTCATTAAAGGTATTTACTTTTTGTATGTTTCGACTGTTAATAAAACAAATGTATTTAATTGCAACGTTGCATTTTAAATCTTGATTAATAATAATTAAAAAGATATATATAATATTTGGTAATATGAGGATATGCTTTCGATTCATTTTGTTACTTGGTTGGTATGTATCAATACGTTCTTGTAGGGCTTAATGGTATGTGGATATTTTTTTTCGTTTATGGTGATGTAATAGCATACCAATATTGCGGAAGACAGCTTTCATTTGAACAAAATATGAGCATCGTATTTTCCTTGGGAAGACTTAGGAAAGCGGTAATATCAAACGAGGAATTTTGTGGAACTAATATAACGCAACTTTTGGTTGACTAAATAATGTCTGTGATAAACAAAAACCGTTGAGAAAAAGAAATCAAAATAATTAACCAACAGAAGCAATTAAAAGTTTCGTGAACATGCATTTTAGTGACAGGAATAACAGCAAAACGATGAATTTCTCGTGATTCGAGTTTGGGTTGACTTGTAAAATCTATTTTTCAAGCTTAGTTTGTTTTGTTCTCTGCTTATGTTTGTATTAACTAGAATACAAAGGAATGGACTTGAATAGAAAATTCAACATATCTATTTTTAATTATATCCGAACGTCCTTTTATTATCCATCGTAACCATATCCGAGTCAGATTGATCATTGTCAATGTTGCAAACTTTTCTAGATGTTTTAAAACATGCCAACTCGCAGCCTAATTTTGTGCGGCCCGCAGGTTGTTCTATCATCGTCCATCTTTGTCAGTTGAGCTTTGAATCTTGTTTGTGGATTTCGGTAACAGTTTCTGTGATCAATAAAAAACGGGTGTTGGAGAGCAGCCAACAATTTTAAGTTTCTATTAAATAACTAAGCTGCTTACCGATGTTCTCTTAAAAACAAACAGAATAAACAAAAAGTTGTTTTTTGAAACATTGCTGAACACTACTAACACTTTTGTCATAAACAGTTGCCGAAACATCTAGGTATATGACTTATTTCTGACATAAAAAAGTTGCTGCAACTTTTCGTGATGACAGTGTGCTACTTTGAAAGATCCTTCCATGATTTTTTTGCATTTAGTTTAGCAATTTGTAATGCTTGTTAAATGACACAAAATTTTTTGATTGTGTAACAATGTGGGAAACTGCGTAAGAACCGACCAACCGAGATTGACAAAACACATTTTTTATGTGTCTGGAATCAGTGTTCGGCAAAACTCAAACATTCAAATCTCATGCATGAGTTTATTGCAAAATCCAACGTCACAAAAATCACCAATAAGTTTTCAAGTTCAAAAATTAATTTCTTTATAGTTTAGTGTTATTCATTGTTATTACTATTGTTTGTGCATCAGGGGTTCGAAAACTATCACAACAAGCATAAGCATGCTATTAATTGACGTTTGAGTGTTTTATTTTTTATTTAAAGCTCTGTTTAGATTTTTCGGCGTTGAGTGTGAATGTGTGAATATGCATGAGAATCTTGTGGGCAGAACCAGCCGAAACGAAGCGAACCGGAGAAAACCACGAAAAAGGAATTCGTTCGAATATAAAAGATACACGAGGCCAAACTTGTTTCACACGGTCTTTAACAATAACTATTCTCTGGGAATACAGAATGTGGAATGGAACAAGGTATGAACAAAATAAATATACGCCTGCTACTGCTCGTGACGCTGGTGTTGTTTTAGTCTGCGATGTTGGTAACTGCCATTCGCCTTGACACCAGTCCCGAAGTGACGTTTCTTCACACACATTTTGACAGTTCTTTATGGGGTTTTGCGTTGGAGTGAGAGAATAAGAAAAAGTCCGCCATGTTGCACACATAGACTGACAGTTACATATGAGATTTTTCCATAGGAGTAAAGAGTTACAGAGCTCTCGTCAACGCCAATAAATGTCATCATGATGATGTGAGGGGTAGAAAACGGTAGGATGGTTTTCTGGAGATAGGTGGTTGGTGATTTCTCCCACACTCCTCCTCAACGAGCACTGGATCGACTCATCTCGAAAGCCCACTCATCTCCACCAGCTGTCGAAATTTAGTCGCACCCAGGGGTTTTGTGAGTGCGTCCGCTATCATCCGCTCCGTTGGAAAGTAGACCAGATCAACTTCGCCTTGCTCCGTCCGAGGCTCCGTCATATCCTTCACAAAAATTTGTCTCGTGTCTATATGTTTAGACCTCTTGCTTGGCTTTGATGAAAGACAAACAGCTTTGATTATCTTCGAACACCGTTGTCGCCTTGGAAAAATCTTCTCCCAAGGCTGCCATCAAGCGTCGAAGCCAAAGTAGTTTCACTTAAAGCGATATACTCAGCTTCCATCGATGACAAGCTGACGCACGATTGACGCCGACTCACCCAAGCGATGTTGCCGCATCCAAAAAAGAATATGAACCCTGTAGTGGATCTCCTGCTTGCATGATCTCCGGCATCGGAGTAGCCGACCAGTGCCCATTCCTATCCGGGTTCAAATCTCAGTCGCATATCCATAGTTCCCTTCAAGTATCTCACGATACGGTTCGCAGCTTTCCAGTCCATTTCAGTCGGCGCACTAACCTTTCCACCAAGTATTGAGACACTCGAAGCTATGTCTGGCCTGGCATTCACCGCCACGTACAAAAGAACTCCTATGAGGCTTCTGTACAGAAATGTATCCGGAAACTGTTGACTGAAATTGTTCACTCCTACGTACCCAGGATCCATTGGGGTACTCGACGGCTTACAGTCCTCAAGGCCAAACTTCTTGATCAGCGTCCTAATGTAGATTGTCAGCCGCAAGCTGTAGAATCCGCTCACACATTGAACATTGAATCCTAAAAAATGCTTCACAGCTCCGAGATTCGTAACATCAAACTCCTTCCGCAACGATTCAAACACATCAGTGATCAATTTTTCGTCCAACCAGGATGTCATCCACGTAGATTAGCAAAAATACTACACCTCGATCGTCGTCCCGAACGTACAAATAGGAATCAGAAGAACATTGCTTGAATCCGAGTTTGATTAACGAACCATGAATCACACGGTTCCAGCAGCGTGCTGACTGCTTAAGTCCGTAAATACTTTTCCTGACAGACAGTTTATAGACAAGTTTCTCCTTCCCGGTAGTCACGAATCCTGGAGGCTGGCTCCTCAATCGTGCCATCTAAATACGCCGTCTTAACGTCGAAATTATGGAGCACCATTCCTCGCTTACCCGCTACGGCTAACAACGCTCGGAAGGTCTCCTGTCTCGTCACTGGTGCAAAAACATCCAGGTAATCTTCACCATAGCGCTGTCGGTACCCCTGTGCCACTAGCCTTGCCTTGTGTTTCACTACGTCACCTGCTTCATCACGCTTAAGTTTGAAGACCCAGCGTGACCCAACAGCCTTCTTCCCTGGTGGCAGTTGAACTAAGTCCTAAGTCTCGTTCACCGCGTGGGAATTCAACAACTCATTCATTGCTTCCTTCCATTCAGGGCACTGCAGCGCTTCACGGTAATCCGTCGGTTCGTCGGCTTCATTTCTAGCAATCCCGACTACAAAGTCATCTAACGCGCCGATAGGACACCGCGATTAAGCCTACCTCGCCTCTGTGCTCCTTGCTCCTCCTGAACCCGAACATCTTCAGAATCATCGGACACGGCGTCGGCCCAACCTTCAAAATCCGACGACGACCCACTGTCATCATCCTCAGGTTCAATAATCTCCTCATCGGGAATCTGATTGTTATCTCCAGCGATCGGGTTCTCTACCTCAAGTACCTCGGCCGTTTCAGGTTCAGTCTGTTTCTTGGCTTGATCAGACCCATTTCCCAGTTCTATGAACTTGGCATCCCGGCTGACCATAATTTTATGGTTTGAACGGTCCACAAAACGATACCCTTTATTTTGTATTCCCGCACTTCTACAGGGTGGCCGATGTCCGCCTAAGCGGACCAGTATCGCGGGATACAATAAAACGGTGATATTGGAACCGGAATGTTAAAACGTGTTGTTAACGTAATAAAAGTAAACAAGGACTGGTCCAACTTTATTCATTTACTGGTGACAACTATTTTTGTGTTTGTGTGTGTCGATGCGCATGATGACATCGCTGGGTGACAGTCAAAGCTGCCACGTACGAGCCCAATGGCGTACAAAGTAGTACACGGATACGAATTTTGTTCATTTAAAACAAAAATATAAATGTTTATACATAAACATATGAATTATACAAAGTAAATTGAAAGAATGTTTAAAACTAAAATATTTATGTTTGATTAAAATTCAAAAGCATGTTTATTTCAACAATATAAGATTTGGGTAAACGGTTTTTAGCGTGTCATGCCTTTTTATTTCCTTCTTGTTACATTCGGAAAAAAGTTGCGCCAGCTTTGCTCAACCTCAACAGAAAACGGCCATCCATTTCGGATCCTCCTCCGATACCGAACATAGAAAGAAACCGGAATGAGGACCAGTGGCAGAAACGGCAAAACGACGTTAATAACACAAATTTGCACCGGTTCCACTGAACTGGAACCCCCGGACACCCACCCCGACGGGTCATCGCATCCCGGACCAGGACCCCAATACCCACAGCTCACCCGAAAAAGAACAAGAATTAAGATGCCCTGCCCGAAGATCTTTTTTTTTTTATTTCTTTGCAAACCTGGCGGTTTGGTGTAGATCGATACGTCAGCAGAAAAATGTCCAACGCTTCTTCCATGGTCTTCCTCCCCGCTTGGATTTTCCGCAACGCCCGCTTAAATGTATCCACAAACCATTCTGCCCGCCCATTAGATTGTGGGTGGAACGGTGCGGTAGTTATATCAACAATCAATACGAAACTATCGATTTTAAATTGGCTCCCTACTTGACTAGCCTATTGGTCCCAAGCAAATCGATTAACGTACCCCATTCTAGTCAAAATTCTAGTACTACACAATGTTTGTTTTGATTCGCTATGAAAGTTTGCAGATAAAATGAGGGGTTAGTGGAATTTCCTATGTTTCGAGGCGTGAATCGATTAGCTTGGGACCGAAGATAGTACCATAGCTGAGCCAAAAACTAGAGCTCGTTTCTTCGGAACCTTCTAGTCTTAGAGTTACCTCTATGGTGAAATGCTGGCTGCCGCTGGTCGCACAAAACTGTTGAAACTCGGCGCTCGTAAATTGTGGGCCGTTATCGCTGACGAGCGTCTCTGGAATCCCCAAGCGAGAAAACAGGTTGCGAAGAATACCGTGTGGCCACTGAACTGATGCGACGAGTTACAATCACAATCACCTCTGGTCATTTGGAGCAGGCGCCGATGACCAGTACAAAATAGTTTCCATCAATCGGTCCGGCAAAATCAATATGGACGCGCTGCCACGGTCCACCAGGCGTTGGCCACAGAACAGATGCACACTGTATGCATGCCTTCACGAAGACGCGATGTCCTGGTCCAGGGAAGGCCAATATATATAACCTCCCAACAAACAATTTTAGCTGCAGCTTAGCTTATACAGGCAAAAATTAGCCACATAAGGCAAATTTTGGCTGTATAAGCTAATCTGCAGCTAAAATTGTTTGTTGGGCTCTAGCGAGGGCCTTCATTCTTACGATCCCTGGATGGCCTTGGCGCAGTTGTTGCATACATCGCTTGTGGTGTTGCTCAGGTATGACGAGCCGTTCCCCGAACATGATACACGCATCCGTAGTGCTTAGCGAATCCTTTCTGGCGTAGTAACGTTGTAGCTCGGCATCGGACTTGTCGAGCTTTTCGGGCCAACCAACCCCAAGGAAGCGATAGACCTTCCATAGCACTGGGTCAGCCTGTGTATCTTTCTCCACTGTGCTGAAACTAAGAGGAAACTCGTTAGCTACTTCGTTCACCACTGACCTGATTTCATCCTCCAAGATGATGCTCGCGATGACATAATCTTCATCTGGTTTGACATGGTTGTCAATTAGCCGTGACAAAACGTCAGCATTACCGAACTTAGCAGTAGGCACATATTCGATAGTAAAATCGTATAATAAAATAATTAGCGCCTAACGTTTTAAACGATTAGCGGTGTATACGGGAATTCCCTTGCTTGAGCCGAAAATCCGTACCAGTGGCGCATGGTCTGTCTGAAGACGGAATTTGCGCCCGAAGATCATTTTATGAAATTTCGTCACAGCGAATACTACAGCCAATCCTTCACGGTCCGGTTGACTGTACCGCTGTTCAGCCTTCGTGAGTGCGCGGGCGGCGTGCTGTACTACCTTCATCGAGCCATCTGGGTACCTGTGGCTGATGGTAGCGCCAACACCGACCGATGATGCGTCCGCAGAAACCACTATCTCGTGCCTTGGATCGTAATGCGTCAGCAAAAGGTCAGAGCTAAGAATCTCCTTAAAGCGGTCGAACGCTCGCTGACATTCCACCGTCCATCGAAATTTTACTCCTTGTTTAAGTAGCTTATCTAGCGGAAAACATAGCGACCGTATGTTTGGCACAAACTTCCCGTAGAAATTTACAGCGCTTAAAAACGAACGCACTCCGCTGACATGCGTAGTTGCAGGTAGCTGCTTGATAGCCTCAACTTTCGCTGGATCAGGCCTCAACCCATGGCGATCGAGCAGATGGCCTAGTAGACTGATGCAAAATTTGAAATTTTCGCTCCACAGTGCTCAAACGGTTCCAAATTGGGCCCTGATTAGCCTCCCAAAATTTGAACTCATTTAGTGAGAAACTGACTTGGCACAAACCATTTGAAGTTTATATGGGAATTACTATGGAGAAACCATAATTTCGGTTTATATCTATCTCAAAATTCACCAGTTCACTCTACTTAAAAAATAATAGCTAAACTTGTTGCAATTTTTCTCAGCTTCAATTTTTTTTGAAAACTAGTTTTCGATCAAATGTAAGGAACAAAAGTTATGACAAAAGACAATGAACAAAAAGTTTTGTTTTCCCATAGTAATTTCCATATAAACTTCAAATGGTTTGTGCCAAGTCAGTTTCTTATCAAATGAGTTTAAACTTTCGGAGGCTAATCAGGACCCGATTTGAAACCGTTTGAACACCGTGGAGCGAAAATTTCAAATTTTGCATCAGTCTAATGGCCTAGGTAACGAATTTGCTCTTTGCCAAAGGAGCACTTGCTGAGACGAATTTTGAATCCATATTCCTTGATTCTATCAAGCACGGCACGAAGGTTTCTCATATGGTCTGCTGAGCCTTCATCCATTTCCATTTGCAGGAATGAATCAGTCAAATCGATCTGGCTAAAAACGGTGGAGTTAGCCAGACTAGCAAAGATATCCTGTGGTAACGGGAGTGGGTACTGATGAGGCTGTAACGAGTCATTTAACCCCGTTGAATAGTCACCACATATCCGAATCGACCCGCTTGACTTGCGGACCACCACGATTGGAACCGCCCACTCCGCAAAGTCTACTGGCGTGATGATCTGTTCCTGCTCCAGTCGGTCTAGTTCATCATCCACAGCCCGCTGCATCGCGTAAGCGACCGGGCGTTTCGGCCGGAACACGGGAGATTTGCCTGACTTCAGCTCCAACTTGATCTTCATCTTCGTACAGATGCCCAACTTGTCCGAGAAAACCGCTGGAAACTCCGCCTTGAGTGTCTCCACATAGGACGTTTTACTCCCGACCTGGCAGCAAATCGCATTGAAGGGTACCGACCACAGTCCAAACACTTCCATCATATCGGATCCGAGGAGTTGAATTTGCTCTCGAGAAACTCGCACTGTACCCTCCGATTTCATATCGTTGATCATCATCTCGCAAGAAAATTCGCCTTCGATATTCAAAATCTTTCCAGCAGCTGTCTTTGTGACGATCGTTGGCGCACACATCGAAGGGCTTCCGATTTTGCGCCACGTTCCCATTGAAATGATGGTAATGTCAGACCCTGTGTCTAGTTGCAGGCGAACCGACGAACCGTTGATGTCCACTGGTACATACTTCCTGTACTTCGTTGCACTACAGGCGTTCACCGTCACCACCTTCGCAGCGGCGTTTCCTTTTCGTCGATCGGATCTCCTGAACTTCGCTTTCCCAGCACTGTGGCAGTATCCCTCCTTATGTCCGACCGTACCACAATCACTGCATTTGTGGTTCTTAAACGAACAATCCCTGGCATAGTGATTAGCATCACAGAGCCAACAAGCTGATTTGGGCCCACTCGCGTTGCTTCTGGAATCAAAGCCGTCCTTCGAGCCCTGCTTCGGCTGACGTGCTGGGAACCTTCCAGGATGCTGTCTGGATTTCAGCGCTTTCACACAGTCAGTTTGATCCTCGATCATTGCTGCGTTGTGCCTCAAATTCAGCAAGCGCTGGTTCTCCTCCGACAACTGCTCCATTGTCACATCACACTTCTCTTCGATACGCGTCAAAAGCCTGGTTCGAACTTCCGCATCCCGCTCCGACTTAAGCCCACAGACGAAAACCAGACATTTAAACTGTTCTTCCGACAGCTTCGTAAGTTCGAACTCCACGCATGACTTATTTATCCGGCAAGCGTACGTGACATAGTCCTCTCTAGGCTGCTTCAAGATCTGTAGGCAGCGATACCTGCGGCTGATGACTGACTCGGATGCCCCGAACAACGAGGTTAGCTTCGACACCGTCTCCTCAAATGAAAGATCTTTCGGTGTTTTAGGTAAAATAACGTATTCCATGTTTGAAGTCATGTGAAATCAATGTTTAAAACAAAAATAATGTTGCGTTTATTTCAAAAATATTCGTCTTGAAAATAAACGTATTTAATTTTGTTTGGTTTGGCAGCTATGCGAACAATAATAAATATGTTTATTTTAAACATGCTTCTCATGTTTAAAATAAACATACATATTTTGAAATTATTTTAAATTGAGTGCAGGGTAAAGCAAAATAAAACGGTTTGCAAAAAAAAAAAGAAAAAAAAAGATCTTCGGGCAGGGCATCTTAATTCCTGCTCTTTTTCGGGTGCGATTAAGGGTGACCTATGGGTATTAGGGTCCTGGTCCGGGATGCGATGACCCGTCGGGGTGGGTGTCTGGGGTTCCAGTTCAGTGGAACCGGTGCAAATTTGTGTTATTATCGTCGTTTTGCCGTTTCTGCCTCGGTTTTTGCCACTGGTCCTCATACCGGTTTCTTTCTATGTTCGGTATCGGAGGAGGATCCGAAATGGATGGCCGTTTTCTGTTGAGGTTGAGCAAAGCTGGGGCAACCTTTTCCGAATGTAACAAGAAGGAAATAAAAAGGCATGACGCGCTAAAAACCGTTCTCCCCAAATCTTATATTGTTGAAATAAACATGCTTTTGAATTTAATTCAAATCAAAATATTTTAGTTTTAAACATGCTCTCAATTAACTTTGAATAATTCATATGTTTAGAGTATAAACATTTATATTTTTGTTTTAAATGAACAAAATTTGTATCCGTGTATGTTTGTTTTGATTCGCTATGAAAGTTTGACAGATAAAATGAGGGGTTTGTGGATTTTCCTATGTTTCGAGGGGTGAATCGATTAGCTTGGGACCGAAGATAGTACCAGAGCTGAGCCAAAAAGTTGAGCACGTTATATCGGGACCTTCTAGTCTTAGAGTTACCCCTACACACTTAATCCACAAACGAAGTGACAGACGGAGCGGCTCGAAATTTGATTTGACGCACTTACATTTTCAATTTTCGAGTGTACCTCACGGCAACACTATCTACTCATATGTACTAGATTAAACTAGGGGGTACCGCCTGTTATCTCTTTTTCTCTAACGAAAATTGAAAGGGAGAGCCTGTTGTCAAACAGCATGTCATTATATCGCTTCTTTTGTATAATGAAAGACCATAGGCCAAAATGATTAGGGATGAACACATCGGGTTAACATTTGCTTACAAGTAAACGATGTTGAGCTGTCAATGACTCGCGCTTGTTGCAATTGTTGCTACAGATTTCTTCAGTCCGTGCTAGAAGCCTAAGTCACAGTCATTCGCGACCGAGAAGACAGACATCGTTGTTGGACGCCAAACAGAACCCGGCCATACTCGGTATGCTGGTATACATTCACTCCTCCGTAGCGGAACTGGAAGGATCCACCCAAGCTGCCGGATATCAGTTTTGTTTGCTCCAGCTTCTTCTTATTATTCTGCAGAACCAGACAGTGCGAGTACTGGTCGTGTTTGCCAAACCAACCGGTGGAATACTAATCTGAAAGCCGATTTCTTAGGCACGTTGCATTTGTCGCAGTAGATCGTCACTTGCTGCTGCACTTTCATGGAGCGGATTACAATCGCCGTGGCAGTAGTTTCGTCGTACAGATCGATCACTGGATCGATATCAACCCGATAGGTATGGCCGGCATGCTTCGCGTAGTGACGCTCGCTCATGTCACGGGGAATCCTTTCCGAACAGGCGGCGCATTCAAACTTCTGTACGAATCGATCGGGACATAGGATTTGATGTCACGCTTTTGTCTCTTGCTGCCTCGACTGCTCAGCCTCTACTTATTCATCATTCAAAACATTTTCCGGTACGGGTGCGGGTAGTGGATGTCCCTGTCGAATTGGTTGATTAGACGAGATCATCGTCATCGACAAGTACCAGTTATCAAACTTTCCAGCTATCATGCAGATGAAGTTTTCAACGGAGTAATCTCTTCCACCTATGCAGCACAAGCTCGGTTAACAAGCTGCGGCAAGTTTTTACGTCGATGCAAATGGGAAATTGGAATTCAATCTGAAATTGAAAACCAACCCTAATAAAATTGTTATGGTTATTTTGCTTAACGACGTGTTCGGGGTATCATCCAAACCATTTGTTGGATAGTTTTATTATTTGGGTTTTCGTTCATGTTGTTGTTGTTGAATATTACAGCAGATAAGCTGCACATAACATATACACATTAATCCAGTCAGTAATGTTTTACTGGGTTTTTGAATTGCGGACTGTTCGAAAAAAGTTTAAAACTCTGCAGGAAATTCAAAAATATGAAACTTTTTCTGAACTTGTACAGATAAAGTTCTGTTAATCTCATTTCTTTTTTTTTTTCCTTTGATTTGTTTTTCGTCGATCTGGTTTTCCGTACTGAGCACCAATGCTACCGATGCCAGCACTGATAAAAATCCCCTTATACATTTTGGCAAATTTCCATTGCTGATTATTCATAAAATGTATAAGGCTACCACCAACCAATTTGTTCCGAACGGCCGGAAGACCAAGCTGAGGCATGGGATGCTCACTATGCCCCACTTGTTCACTATGCCCCTCTTACCCCTACCATAAAATCACAACGAAAATCATGGTATATGAGAAATGTACAATAAAAAAGGGGGCTTGTTAAGCTAAGCATCTTAAAAATAAAAAAATATTTTTGTCGAACAAATTTGATCTCATCAAATTAATTTTCATTGATAATTGTATCGTTAAAAACGAAATTTATTATTCCTCCTTTCCAATAATTTAATAATAAATTTTTAATGTGCCCAAAATTCAACCGTAAAATTCATTGTAATTTCGTTATTTTATTATAATTTTTTTTTGCGTCCATCCTCGGTATGCATTCGTTACTCCGTAGCGGAACCGGAAGCTCTCGACGAGGGCGATCTAAAGAAGAAAAATTTACTCCAAAATCATGCCGAGATCCATCGAATCAAAGAGGCGATCGACGTGCTGGAGGTGAGAATGAAGGAGGATCGGATGAAACTGATTTTTTTTTTATTTTATTACGGCTAGAGATGCTGTATGTCAAGCGTTTGAGCATGATTGCGGTACGATGCACTATTCTGGACTGGTCTACTATACGTGGCAAAACTAGTCATTATACCTGCTACGTGTACCTTGTTACCTGAAGACGAGGAAGGAATCTTCGGATTCATGGAGGAGGACATCGGACATCAGAAATGAGGAAGCTCGTATGCGAGGACAAAAGTGTTACATCTGCAAGGGTTGATGCATATATTATGTCACGCTCTAGGGGGGGGGGGGGGGTCTAAGATTTTGTGACAAGCAATGCATTAGGTATAGGAAAAACGTCACGATAGGGGGGGGGGGGTAAATTTCTCTTCGATTTAGCGTGACAAAATAAATGCATGGGCCCCAAGGAACGGTATGCGAACGTTTTGTGTTGCACGAAGAAGTGCTTCCGTTCATTTCAGACGCTTTGTGGGATGCAGAATGAGTGCCTGTCGCATTACGTGGATACGTTCCAGTCGTGGTGCGATAAGCACGTAGCGCTGGTGGGTAAGGTGAAATAATCCGGGACCGAAGCCTGTGGGATTTGCTACGATGAGATGGGACCGTACAGGAAGCTGGAATCGATTCGTGCTGTCAGAATGTCTGGTTCCATCGGAGCTGCATGGCACAGTTTGCCCAATCGGCGGGGTACTTTTTCAAGTGCCCTTTGTGCAACAACAAGGACGACTTTAGTCAGCAGATGCAGCAGCGTGGCATTTATATTCCACTGCCACGAGGAACTTCCGTCGAAAACTTCGAGGAACTTCCGTCGAAAAATTGCTTCGAGCCAAACCGGTCGTATCAAATCGTTGACTTCTTCGGACAATGAAGACGAAGCATCCTCCGCCGGATCGTCGACCGTGTTCGATTTCAACTATCGTGTGAATTTAACCAAAAAAGCAGTGCCGAAAATCGATGGTAGAATTGCAGTCGATCAAAGAGTTCATCCGTTCCGACACGGACACGCTAACGGATGCCTCGGTGGGACAGGAGATCGTGCGTCCCAAGACGCCTGCCAGAAATCTTTTGAAAATCTGTTCAAATTGTAGCTTTTCGGGTCGAAAACCGTCCCACGAAAATGGTCCACCAGCGAGTCTGATCCGGAGTACGTTACAGCGAAGAAAATTAGGTTGATTTAATTTTAATGGTGACCTTCCTTAAACGGTGAATTTTCCAGTACTAGTCAGGTCTTTCCCACGGCGCAGTGGATTACTGCCAACGGTGCCACCTCAAGTGGGAATGCGATTCGAAACCGAGTTGACGTTGATGCTCAAAAGTGAGGCCGGCAACATAGTAGAAGCGATTCGAAGCGATTCGATTCGTTGGCAATAAGCGGAGCGCTTGCGTGAAAGCACCCTCTATGAGCGTTCTATGGGAATCGCCCAAACCAGCCATAGTGAAAGCGATGCGAAAAGGTGTAAAGCGTTCAGCAAAGCGACAGAGCTGTTCGTGTTGTGTTTTGACGCCTTCGAACGCAAGTGGACTGATTCTAATGAGGAAAAATGGACACCGAAAATTTGAACAAATATTTTGCACTGCGCGCGCGACTGTAATGTTTTCAAAAACGCTTTCACTATGTCATAGGTTGCTTCGCTTGCCGCTGCATTTCGCTTTGCCAATTGCTATCGCATCGAATCGCTTCGAATCGCTTCTACTATGTTGTCGGCCTGAGAAAATGTTCCGGATTTCACTACCCACACAGATTAGTGGGAAAACAAACCGTCCGTTCATCCATGTGTGCTAGATAGAGAAAGATGATGAAACGGCAAAAAGGTCTATGCACCTGAAACCGACGGAGAATCGCAAGTGCTGTGGTGAGGCAGAAGGAAACAAGTTAGCACTTTCATTATCACGACGTTCTTATGCATAATCTAGTGTGACGTAACGTTGGATCATACGTAAGAACACCGTGAGAACGAAAGAGTTGTCAACATTCCTTCTGCCGCACCTACAGTAACGCACACGGTTCCCGCACGGATTGTTCCTTACTTTCTCACTCTAATCAAAATTTCCTTCGATGAGTGAGAAAACAGCACCACGTCAACGCGAGCGAGAACGAGGGTTGCCAGATCATTGCACACAAAAGCAACTTGAATTAATTCAAAGCAAAAATACTAGCGAACCTGGCGGTGAAGGGCGCAAGGTGGACTAAAATTCTATTACAGAGAACCACATTATTTTAATTAATTTCTTCGGAGAAAGTCGTCTGTCACTTCGTTTGTGCTTAATCTAGCTCGGTAAAATCTTCATACATACTTCAAGTCCCCGCGTACATCGTACGGGTTAGGCAAAAATGTGCGTCTATCTTGAAAAACTGACGCATTAATGGCCCTTCGCTCATTTTCAACTTCTATTCAATTTTCATACTGCCGTACTCTAACGGAACTATCCACCTACCCTCTTCTAAAAAGATCATTCTCTAGCTAATAAATCATCACACTAAAGCTTCATGTTAGCATTTCCAACCAACACTAAATCTTTATTTTTTTTCGATTATACAGATAGGAAATGGCTTACGCTGTTTTTTCTGCAAGCAACTAGTTCCGGGGTACGCTGATGGGCTACACCGCCATATAAATTTTCACCTCAAAGAAAATCATTTTAATGCAGACATGATTTCATATGACTGCACTTTTTCAAAGTGTAACATGAGATATGCTCACTTCACATCTCTCAAACGGCACATTATTCAAGAACATCCAGCGATACCAGATGAAATCATTGCTCCCCTGAACGCCCCCCTCAATATTGAGTTCAATCTTCCTTTAAAAAAAGCTAGGTTAGAATCACAGCCAAATCCACCCGCAGAGAATTCCTCAGCAAATAAGGCCCATGAAGATATATGATAATATTGCCAGAATCATAGTAAATTTACCTTTCGGATAAACTCCACGATAGTGAGCTTTCACCAATTATGAACAACTATTTGAGCAACTTGTTGTCTGAGAAATATATGAGCTTTTCTCATGGAAACTTCCCGAATTAGTTACATGGGTCTCCCCCAGGGCTCATGCTTAAGCCCCCTTCTTTATAATTTTTATGTAAAAGACATTGATGGTTGTCTTGATGAAAATTGCTCGCTAAGGCAGCTTGCAGATGACGGCGTTGTGTCCGTTATAGGGCCAAGTGCACCGGACCAGCAAGGACCATTGCAAGATACCTTAGACAATTTGTCTACTTGGGCTATGAAGCTGGGTATCGAATTCTCTCCGGAGAAAACTGAGTTGGTTGTTTTTTTCTAGGAAGCATCATCCTGCACAGTTACAGCACAGACAAACAGACGTAACTCATTGAATATTTCTCACTGTAAAACATCGTCGCTAAAACATTACCGCCATCTGTTGAGTACACTGTGGTGGGTAGTACGCTGAACAGATGGCGGTAGTGTGTAAACGTCAAACGCAAGGGAATTTACTATGCGCGCCACAGGTGGTGGTACTACCAACTATGATACTTTTAAATTGACCGTTAAATGCTTGTTCGATCAACAACTTGCGAGTGTTATGTCTGTTTGTCTGTGGTTACAGCTTCAACTAAAGGGTAGAACAATCACTCAAAGTATATCTTTCAAGTATTTAGGTGTCTGGTTCGATTCCAAATGCACATGGGGAAAACATATTGCGTATCTGAAACAAAAATGCCAACAAAGAATCAATTTTCTTCGTACAATTACCGGAACTTGGTGGGGAGCACACCCGGAAGATCTGATCAGGTTGTACCGAACAACCATCCTTTCGGTTTTAGAGTACGGCAGCTTTTGCTTCCAATCCGCAGCAAAAACACACATTCTTAAGCTGCAACGGATTCAATACCATTGCCTTCGTATTGCGCTAGGCTGTATGCACTCGACTCATACGATGAGCCTCGAAGTACTCGCGGGTGTTCTCCCACTGACAGATCGTTTCGCTGAGCTGTCTTTCCGGTTTCTCATCCGTTGTGAAGTATTGAATCCTTTGGTAATAGAACACTTTGAGAAGCTGCTCGACCGAAATCCTCAAACAAGACTCATGAGTTTGTACTATGAGTACATGACGCTGGAGGTTGGTCCTTCTTCCTTAATCTCCAATCGTGATTGCTTTCAAGCCTTCTATAGTTCCTCTGTAAATGTTGATCTGACCATGATGCAAGAAATCCATGGAATACCAGATCACCATCGGTCGATGGTTGTTCCCTCAATTTTTGCAATCAAGTACCACCATGTAAGTAACGATAAAAGATTTTTCACAGATGGGTCAACCATAAATGCTTCCACTGGATTTGGTGTATTTAATCAATTTCATAGCGCCTCCTATAAACTACAGAAACCATGCTCCGTATACGTTGCGGAACTCGCAGCTATATTGTACGCAGTAGAGCGAATTGCCTCACTACCTTCTGACCATTATTTCATTTTTACGAATAGTCTTAGCTCATTGGAGGCTATTCGTTCAATGAGGCCGATGAAGCACTCCTCGTATTTCCTGCCTGAAATACGATCTAAACTGAGTGCTTTATCTAACTGCTCCTATACTATCACCTTAGCTTGGGTCCCATCTCATTGTTCAATTCCGGGTAATGAGAAAGCGGACTCATTGGCTAAGGTGGGCGCTATGGAAGGCGATATTTTTGAGCGACAAATCGCCTTCAACGAATTTTTCTCCATTGCTCGCCAGCAAGTCCTCATCAGTTGGCAACAAAAATGGAATGATGGTGAATTGGGAAGATGGTTACATTCTATTCTCCCACAGGTGTCGAACAAACCATGGTTCAAAGGGTTGGACATGAGCCGCGACTTTATACGCGTTATATCAAGGCTTATGTCCAATCACTGCTCGTTAGACTCGCACTTCTATCGAATTGGGCTCTCAGGCAGCAATTTATGTGCGTGTGGCAGTGGTTATCACGATATCGAGCATGTTGTTTGGTCGTGTACCTTACACCGTGTTGCCAGATCTGAGTTATCCACATCCCTCAGGGCCCGAGGAAAACAACCCGCGATACCCGTTAGAGATGTCTTGGCGAGCCGAGACCTCGACTATTTGAATTTAATTTATGTGTTTTTAAAACGGATAGATTTGAGGATTTAGAAGTTAGTGTCATCTTGTGTTCTCCCAAGTTGTTAGCTACCCATCGGTGTACCCCCATGTTTGTCTTTTTCATCAGAGTGTCGCCTAGTTCGAGATCAAGAGCACATTGCTCTCCAAACCTTGTGTTCACAATCCCTACCCTGCCATCCATTTGTTACAATTTGTTACCCCTAACCTCGAGATAGCCGCGAGTAATCGGCCCCCGCTTTACTGACGTTAGTTTTAAGTAATTTTGTTATCCAAACAATGAATATCGGGTCCGCAAAGCTACAGCAAATGAGCCTGGAAAAATAAACGAATTATTAAAAAAAAAATTCTAAATTTGTTTACATTTGTAATCAATTATACTGAATTGGTAGTTGATTTAACGGTAATAAGCGTGGTTATATTGAAAATAAGTGTTTTCTGCAAAATAGCATTCCAAACGATTGTCCTTGTTTCAGTGTAGAATTATTGAAAGTGTGAATTTTTCGAGGAATTTTTACCTAAAATTTTATCGTATATAATCTTAGGGAGCACGCTATTTCAAAACTCCCCAAAAATTTGGGTAGAATCCACCCAGATCGGTCTAAACTGAACCTACCCAAAAATGGGTAAACTGTGTTGGGAGTGACAAGTTGACAAATGAACAACGTCGATCGGATTCATGTCGATGTTCTTAATTTGTCAACTTGTCACTTCAAACACAATTTACCCATTTTTGGGTAGGTTCAGTTTTGACCGATCTGGGTGGATACTACCCAAATTTGGGGAGTTTTGAAATAGCGTGTGTATGCCAGACACAGCGCTATGCAAATTTCAATGCGGTTTTGTAAATGCGTTGAGACTGCGTTTATCTATTTCCGTTTCCGTTTTTTTTCGACAGACTTTTCTAGCGTGCTGTTTCAAAAGATTCCAACTTGTTTCATCTATAAAAACTTTTGTATGTTTCATTCTGTGGTGTTTTGATAATATACTGATGCATAGAGTCGTAAGCGCATGTCTGCAAGCTGAAAATTGAAGACTTCACATCATTTGCATATCCAAAACATCGCTTTCATTGTGTTTGTAAGTGTTTTGGTTTTTATAGACAAAAGTGATTAGGCCTTATTGAATGAGAACGATTAATTTGTAAGCCAGTGCAGTGCAAAGCTAAGTCATACAAGCAGTCGGATTAGTTTTTTGAACGTGTTAATTATTTCTTAGTGATCGGATATTTTTTCATAGTTTCTCCGGAGCATTTTCATTGTTTATCACGGGAAAAGCAGAATATTTTTCTTGCGAATATTGTGTACAGGATCCGAACAATGCCGGCTCGTAAGAAACCAGCACCGAAAGGACCGTTCTTCTTCTTCATGTTGGAGTTTCGTCGACGGGAGGAAACTAAAGGCAAGAGTTTCCCTGGAGGAATGGAGCAGGTCATGCAAGAAGCCGGACCTTCATGGAATCGGCTCAAAGAAGCTGAACGGCAGGTCTACAAGGATCAAGCCGCAGCCTATAAAAATCAACCGAAGCAAAACTACGGCGAAAAGTACACCGCCCAGGGTGTTCCGTATTCGCTGGTCGAGATGCAGAAACAGGAGCTACTGAAAAAGCAACAAACGATTGGATTAGTTATTTCCGAGATGATTCAAACCGCTATGCATAACAATGTGTTGGAGAAGATGCAGGTAAAATGAATTGTAATTAAATTAACGTATATCAAAATATTATCTTGAAAAACGACAGATCCCTCAGGCAATCGTGACATTTTTTTTGTTTGCTGTTGTCTGATGACGACTAAGACCATAATGGATCAACAATAAAAAATAGCCCATCAGCATTTGTAAACAAACCGTTCCAAAGCCCAATCAAATTAGGTTTTGCACCGTCGGGGTTAACCTCAATCTGATGACAGTTCAGAGGTACTGTTTACGTGGCCAAAATTCTGCAATGTCCACGATCAACATCCTTTCACCGCGCTCTTTCTCGACTATTTTCAAGTTCAAATTCGGAAATTTTAGAATATTTTTTTTTCGATCCATTGAGCTGAAACGTTCGCCAAAGAACTACAAATATGTTCAATTCGCCAAAGAACTACAAATATGATCACCAAATATTAAATTTTTGGAAGCACCTGCCGGAAACTTAAAAAAAGTGAAATTGTTCAAAATAATAGCAGTACTAATAATTTTCATTTCAGCTTAATTTTGATATTTTAAATTTTACATTTCTCAAAATTCTAACAATCTCCAACCAATTAACAAATGTACTTAATAGTTAAAAATGTTTAAAATATTTGCAGCAAGTAAATTTTCAAATAAAAAACGGCTATTATTTTGAACAATTTAACCTCTTTCCGGCAGGTGCTTCCAAAAATTTAATATTTTGTATTTACGATTGAACATATTTGTAGTTCTTTGGCAAATGTTTCAGCTCAATTGATCATAAGTTAACTAATTTACATCATGTCAAAGTTGACCATTTTGTATGAAAATTGGCACGCTCTGCTATTTAATCGAACACAGCTGTATATGCTGCTAGTACTGCAAAATATACAATTTGAGGTAATAGCATAAAAGAGTACAACGTCGGTACAATCAACCGGTGGAAACCCGGGCAGGTTTAAACTAAAGATTTTAAATTGGCTCACTACTTGACTGGCCTATTGGTCCCAAGTACACTGAAGTCTTTTTTACACGGTTTTTCGCGATTTACGCGGTACGTTTTTAACGATTTCTCGTCAACGATACAACCTATCGACTTGATTCCAATCACATTATCCGTTTCAAGCTATAGGTAATGAAATACTTTAAAAAATCACAATTTTTGGTGTAAATACAGAAATTAAAAAAAAAATATGTTTATATGGACCATAGCATGCTATACATAATTACAAATGCATCAAAATCCCTTTTTTTAAAACATTTAACCATGTGAAAAATCAAAATCACGTAGGTCTTTTTTTACACGGTTTTTTTACAGGCACATATCCCCCGTGTAAAAAAAAAATCTTAAGTCTACATCGATTAATTCGCTATGAAAGTTTGACAGATTAAATGAGGGGTTCGTGGATTTTCCGATCTTTCGAGGGGTGCATCGATTAGCTTGGGACCAAAGATAGGACCAGAGCTGAGCCAAAAAGTTGAGCATAATGCTTCGGGACCTTCTGGTCTTAGAGTTACCTCTAATGGTGTACTTCACTAATAAAAATTCAATGATTATTTTTATGAGTCCCACACTTGAATTTTTGCAATGTGATAAACAAATGATATATGTGTCGGACACATAGTTCTTATGTGTATAAAATTCATGTGTAAACACACATACTATTCATTTGACTCATAAAATTCATGTATACTTCTGAGTGGATCCTGTTTATGTGTGGACACATGAAAATCATGTTGAATTTTACATGGAAATTCGCCAATAAAAATGTGTCGAATTTTTTTGAGTGTTTGTATATCTGTCGAAGGCCTTAAATGCATTTAAGCTACACAGAGAAAAAAAAAATACCTAAATTTTAGTACTTTTTACTTAATTTTGGGTAATTTTGAGTTTTGCATCCCACTCTCACTTTTTGTTGTTATCAAAAACGGAACGAGAGATTCGATTTTCGCATGGCTATTGTTCAATGAGCTAATAGTATAATAGTAAGTATATGAGATATTGTCAAATTTGAGTCAATTGAACTTATTTTTGGGTAGAAAATACTCACGAGTAAGTAATTATTTTTGCCGTAGTCAAATGTAAACTACTCTAAGTGGTTTACTGAAAATTATCTTATTGAACGGAACATGGGAGATGAGTGAAATAAACTTAATTTTGGGTTTTTTTTTTCATAAATTTTAAAAATGATTATTGGATTTCATTTTCATTTTTATTTTACAGCGTTTGGTGGGGCAATGGGACCGCAAGTCAATCCAAAGCCAAGGATAAAGGAAGGGTAATGGCTGAATAGTCTATGCGGACCACTTGAACGCCATGGGAAAAGGAAGGGATTGAAGATGTCATTTATTGGGGGGTTTTGAGGAAATGACACAGTACTAGATTTGTGCTGCAAAATGTAAAGAAACCGAAAATCCATCTCCCACTGATTCATCCTTTCACATATATACCAAATTGATATTTTAAAGCAACCATCAAAATAAACAGACAATATATGAATATAATATATATGGTCCCCAGTTCATGAGTTGATGAGTCGATAGGTAGGGTCCAGGCACAGGAGTGGAACTTTGGATCAGAAAGTGGCTCCACTTGTCATTTGCGAACACAAGCGCACCTAGCGGTAGAAGGCATGTTCTGCCTGCAGTTAAGATAGGCAGCATGCTATGATAGTGTGAGTGCACATAGAAAGCCCGTGTGGAACGCTACCACAACACATCGCTTGTTGAGCAGAAAAACGAATACTTTTTGATTCACCGATTTGTTAGCACTTCTCCTTCTGTTCTGTGGTCCAGGTGTGGGAGCTGCCTCCCTGGCGTCGGTAGTATTGGTGCTCAGCACGGAAAAGAAGATCGACAAAAAACAAATCAAAGGAAAAAAAAGAAGTTTGCTGAGGACTCAGAAAACTTGTTTTGCCGAGATTTGCACAGCCGAGCTCGGTAGAAAAAAAAAAAAAAACTATGTGTGTACACACACAGATTTTTTTGCCGGATCTCAGTTAAAGACTTGCCGAGATTCAGCTAACAAACGGGAATTTTGCCGACATCTCAGCTAACAAACAAATTTTTTGCTGAATCTCTGCAAGTTTTTCACTGACATTCAGCTATATAAAATGCCGAGCTGCTCGGTGGTGCCCATATCGGCAAAAAAAATCTAAGTGTGTACGAAACATATAATTTAAAGTATTTCACTAAATACATATATAAAATACTTAAGACCTGTGTTTCTTATGTAGAAGAATTATAGGAAATCTGCAAAACTGATAGATTTAAAGCTTCGTTCAAAAACCAGGAATTTTTATAGAAGAAACCAGGAAAACCGGGGAAAAAGCAAGAATTTAAAATCAGAAATTCACTTGCCACCCTGCAATAACAACAAGTTGGAAGTCAATTTTCGGGAAAATTGCTAGAAACTTTCTGAAGAAATTGTAGATATCTCGTGGAAGAAGTCGGGGTCAACGAAACTTTCAAAACAAGCTTCTAGACATTTCCGGACGCAATGTAGAAGAATCTTCTGGGGTAGAAATTGAAATTAATTTAAAAATTATCTACTGCTTTGTGGGTAGTTATCAGAAGTTATAAATAGAATATTCGAATGAATAACTACCAAAAATAAATGTTTTTACCTGAATAAAAGTAGACAAAAATGAATGGGAAACGGTCTATTGATGGTAAGAAACCTAAGAAACACCGTGGTTTATTAAAACCAATGCTTGATATTAGGTAGTCTGCATTGCATTACTGAAGCTCTTCGCATGTCGGTCCCATAGTTGTTTTTGTCAAAACTGAGTTTTTCAATGCAAATGCTAGATAATCACGCATACCTATTTTCACAATACTGGATGAACTCAACAACTTTGTTTGGAAATACAGTCAAATTAGTTGTCCCATCACATAAGAAGCAATGGTACGAAGCAAACTTTAAACGTGATTTTCTCGGCTTACTGATTTTCGTTATGGGACGGACATGCGAATAGCGGCAGATTAGGCCGTACGAAGAACAAGAGATAACTTTCCTTTCCAGTGCTTTTCTTACGGAGCGAGTAACCTATACTCCTTTATTCATGATCCATTATCAATTTTTTTAATTGAATGTTTTAAATAATATATGCTTATTAAATTTGTAGTGAATGCTGTCTTGACTACGGTCTACTCCTAATTGAATTGTTCTATTGTTTTGAATTTTTCAGATGTACTTCATTTCGATTAACCATTTCTGCAAAACATCTACAAATGTGTTCGTACCGGCCGAGTTGGCAATGGTGCAATACAATCTAGAATTGGGTGTCCAGGCTAAGATGCACGAACTGATCAATCCCGTCAAATTGCCTTTGGGACTGGCACTTGAAGCGACCCAGTTAAGCGAAGAAACTCATGAGTTGCCTATTCCACCGAATGCGATGGGCGAAACCGATCTCGATAACGTGCTGCAGAAAATCTTGAATTTTACCGATTACAAAAACAATACCCAAAAACAGTTTCCCGTTATAACTGATGAAAAGCAAGTTCCGGTGGTTGAAAGCATTTTGGAGCAGTGCGACGAAGATTCGAAGATCGATTATCGATTTCTGGTAATTCCACTGGGAGAGTTCTTTTTCCACTTGAAGCGTGCCACGGAAAAATACGGATTGGACATTTGCACCTTCCCATCCAAAACCATAGCGGATATTTTACTGAAGAAAGACACGTACGAATATACCAGCGGAATTGCATGCGATTTTCACGAGAAGCGAGGAAATACCAGATTCTGTGCACTGTCGAAGGCTGTTCGCTGGACGTACATACTTTCTGACAATTGCTGTCTGGATCTGAGCATTGATTTGATTGCTGGGTGCCATTTGCCGTCGAACGCCGACACTACACTGTGTTTAAATCTGGCCGAAACAACATCGTATACCAACCAGGGTCAGACTGATGGATTATCTATGGTTTCTTCGGTGCAGACTAATTATACACTTCCGAATATCCAGAAACATCGCGCAATGAGTACTTTCTATGACGAGAAATGTTCCTTTGTGTCTCGTGTAGCAGGACCCAGTAAGGAAACGAAAAAAGATGCTGGCGCCTTGATGAATCCGTTCCAAATGATTGATGTCAACGACAGCGTTTATGATCCCAATTTGCCGAGAAAGAGTACTGAACAAATCGCCGCGACAACCAGGAGCTGCAAAACACAAGACCGGGACACGGAGGTTGGAATGATACGCCAGCCAGCGGTCACGGAATCAGGTCGCGGGCGTGGAGCGTTGCTTAATAATTCATTTAGTGCAGTGCTACCACCAGCAAGCCAACGGCAGCATTTTTTCGCTGATATGTCTTCTATTGGTACGAATTATTCCGTGAAACTAAGCGACGATGACGATTAATCATTCGGTAATTACGTAGGTGGCAATTGAAATAACCAAAACTAATATTTAGCTTATTTATTGTTTCAGATTTCTGGTTGTTGTTAGTATTTCATAAACGAAATATTAAAAACGTGTTCAAAAGCATTATTTCGATAACAATTTCGAAAATATTCAAATGCTCAATTATCAATTCATTTGATTTCAAATTCGCGATACTTATTTTTACTATATAACAGTTGAAAAGATCTCAAACAAATCGAAATAAGTCCAGGATATCAAACATGCATTATCAAATCCAAGATATTGTTGTTAAAAAAAACTAAATAAATTTGCCAATAAATGTTGTACGATCCCAGCCTAAGACTAGACATATATTTTTTTTTTAGCCGAGGACTTTATAAAAGAAGATAGTCGATCTTCAAGAAACTTGAATTTGAATTGCAATCGAAGCTAAAGCTTTACATAGCAACGTGTTCTTATCAAATCAGAACAGGTTAGAACTTATACTTGAATAAACACATCGAACGTAGGTTTGGCAAATTTGTAGTTCTGCGTTTCTTTCGAATTCCGAACAGTATTGGTCCTTTTTTATCCGGCAGGTGAGTACCGGTGTTTGTTGCAGTTTTCCGTTATAGTAAATTTTAGCTTTCCATGCTGGTATTGCATTCGTACCACTAATCCAAAGTCGCGAGTGAGCTGCGAATCGAAGTTACGCGGCCGTTGAATCTGACTCATATTTGACTAAAATTCGGAAAAATGTAGCTCCTCATAGACACTGAGCAAAATCTTTCTTGATTTTCCACGAAAAACTTATCGAATATGAGGAAAATCGATAGAGGTTTCACTCAGTATGATTAGTATACGATTCTGTGACACTACCCCGAACGCCGTTACCCTGAACGGTACACTACCCCGAATAGTACACTACCCCGAATGGGCACTACCCCGAATGGCCACTACCCCGAAATTAAGACAAATGGAAGAACAGCAAGGGATCAAAAGAAGGGTAAATTTTTGAGAAGAAAATTTCCTTTTCTAATTTATACTGAATACAAATGATAGGATTCTATAACATTCCCCAGAATCTCATTCCCCAGAATGCACCATTCCCCAGAAAAGCATTTCCCAGAATGTACCATTCCCCAGAAAAGTATGCAATGTATTAGATTGACTAGTTTTGTTTATTATAGTCACTCCTGGAATCTTCTTTCGCGTAGGGGAATTTACGTATTCTCGTCAATCTAAGCAGTGTCCGCACTTCTATTAGCATTTTCTCAGCGTCACGCACATATATGACGTGTCTGTTGGTTTAAATTCATCTGCTGCTTGCTTCTCTATCCATTCTAATCGACCGAATTCTTCAAAACTGTTTGAAAGCGTTTTTATAACGCTCCAAACTTCTCAGGTGAGTGTGACTATTGTCGGCAGCCTCGTTTTCTTCGGCAACCTTCCCATTTGAACTGCGTGTTAACCAGCTGTTCTATTATCGGCAACTTGAAATCAACCCCATTTTAGAGTACGTATGCTTCATTTGAATACAAATCTGGCATAACAGGACTGCTCAGACGTACACATACAATCAGATTGAAGCTGAAAGACTAAAGAATCGTTTGGATGCATTCAGGGAAGTGTGTTGATGGGAAAACATAGTGAAATTAACGTTTAAATTTTGGTTGCCGAAAACAGTCAATGGGTGCCGAAGCCGACATTTACCCTATATAAAAAGAAAAGAAAAACTTAATGGCTCAAGGGGGTTTCCCATCTTTGAAAATACAACAATAGACAATAATTAATTCTTTGGATATGCGATAAAGAAGGGAATATTCCCTTCTTTGAATATGTAAAAGAGAACATAATTAATTCGTTAAATATATGATAGAGAAGAAAATATTCCCTTCTTTGAAAATATAACAAAAGGAAATAATTAATTATTGGATAAACGATAAAGAAGGGAATACCTATTCCACAGACAAACCTATTCCTTTCTTTGAATATACACTGGAGTCGCTTTTTACGCGGTTTTTTTTACACGGTTTTTTTAACGCGGTTTTTTTTACGCGGATTTCGGAATTTACGCGGTTTTTTTTTACGCGGATTCCGGAATTTACGCGGTTTTTTTTTACGCGGATTTTGGTTTTTTTTACGCGGATTTCAGAATTGACGCTGTATATCGCTTTTTACGCGGTTTTTTCTTACACGGTCTTTTTTTACGCGGTTTTTTTTTACGCGGATTTCGGAATTTACGCGGTTTTTTTTACGCGGATTCCGGAATTTACGCGGTTTTTTTTACGCGGGACGTATCACCCGCGTAAAAAGCGACTCCAGTGTATAAAAGAGAAAATAATTAATTCTTTTGATGTATGATAAAGAAGGGAATATTCCCTTCTTTTAATATATAAGGAAAATATGTAATCAATAATAGGCGCCGGTGGTGTAGTGGTAAGCGTGATTACCTCTCACCCCAGCAGGCCTGGGTTCAATCCCAGTCGGCGCCGCCGGGATGTTCTGAGGCATAACATCTCTGATCACGCCTTCCTTCGGATGGGAAGTAAAGCCGTTGGTCCCCGGTTCATGAGTTGATGGGTCGATAGGTAGGGTCCAGGTGTGGGAGCTGCCTTCCTGGCACGTCGGTAGCATTGGTGCTCAGCACGGAAAACAAGATCGACGGAAAAAACAAACCAAAGGAAAAAAAAAAAAAAACAAATTAACAAAAGGCCGAAAAAACTCGTAGTTTTTTCGGCTTTTTGTGTTTTCGGCCTTTCGTGATTCGGCCTTTTGTGTATTTCGGCCTTTCGTAGTACTCCCATATTATGATCTAATACTTAATATGAAATATCGGTATAGATGAAAACTGGAATAACCCATCAGCGAGAAACCATTTTACTTTCTGTATGTTGAACATAGTGTTGGAAGTAGTGCGCAGTAATCACACAATAAAGCGCTATGCGCAGGGAAGAGTTCGCGAATCATAGTGAACTCTTGCTTCACTGATTTGCATGAATCAATTTTAAAAATGCTCTTATATGTACCTAGACATAATAGTTATATTAGCAAATTAAGTGCTTCTAAATTCCAATAAAAAATATCATTTGTATTGAGTATAAATTCCAAAACAAAATTTCCTTCTAAAAAATGTACCCTTCTTTTGATCCCTTGCATTAATTTGTCTTAATTTCGGGGTAATGGCCATTCGGGGTAATAGGACATTCGGGGTAACGGCGTTCGGGGTTATAGCGTTCGGGGTAGTGTCACAGAATCTAGTATACTCCTAGACTGAGTAAAATTTCCATCGATTCGTCACAACAAGTTCTTTAACTTTAAGTACACACAGTAACAGTAGTAGAGTAACCCTTTCTGACCATTTCAAGCGCTTTTACCAGTTACAAAAAGTCGTAAACTGTGCTCCTTTTGCGAAACATGTAGACAATAACTCACTCTGTTAATATCAGGCACAAGAGTAGTGAAATTATTTATATTATAAGGTTTTTGATCAAAACTTTATTACTTTCACCGGCTTAAGCGCTGGCCAGACTGAGCAGTTATAACATGTTATAACGGTTGTCAAATAATTACAACACAGAAACCACCATCAAGATAGCGCTATAACATGTTATAACTCTGTAAAGGGTGTCCACGATGAAATTGCCACACACAAAATTGATTCGCAAAATTCGAGTTTTCATCCGATTGCCATCAAATTTTCAGGGATTGAGAAATAACTATTAAACTTCATTTTACCATTTTACTCGTATTTTATTTACAGTCTATACGCAAATGCCCGCACCTTGGCCTTAACCCCGGCCATAAGATTCTGCACAACCTGTGAATCAACCGTTTTTTGCATGTAAACCCATACTTTCTTCAGTTCCTCGACTGTCTTCACTACCTTAGGTCGTTTAAGAAGGTGCTGCTTCATAATCGCCCAGTACTTCTCGATGGGGCGGAGCTCCGGAGTGTTGGGAGGGTTGAACATTTTCGGCACGAAATTGACCTTATTGTCCGCATACCACTTCAGCACGTCCTTGGAGTAGTGGCATGAGGCCAAATCCGGCCAGAAGATTGTTGGGACGTTGTGGGCCTTCAGGAGAGGAAGCAGCCGCTTCTGGAGGCACTCTTTTATGTACATCTGTCTGTTCATCGTGTCCTGGGTCACGAAAGGTGCACTCCGCTTCCCGCACGTGCAGATGGCTTGCCAAACCAGGAATTTCTTCGCAAATTTGGACATCTTCTGAGTGCGGACATGCTCCGGAACGCTGAACTTATCCTTGGCCGTGAAAAACAGGTTGCCGGGGATCTGTTTGAAGTCGGCCTTCACATATGTTTCGTCGTCCATGATGCAGCATTCAACTTTCGTCAGCATGTTGAGGTACAACTTCCTGGCACGGGTTTTGGCGGACTTGTTCTGCTTCTCGTCGCGATTAGGGGCCTTTTGTACCTTGAACGTTCGAAGCCCAGCCTTAGTTTTGGCCTTCTGGACAAAACTTCGGCTTAGGTGCAGCTTCTTAGCCACATCCCTAACGGAGGCGTTCGGATTTCGGTTGAAGGCCCCAACTACGCGGTTGTGATTTTTGGTGTTGTACGGAATACTTTTTCCTTCACTTCTGGGCTTCCGATCGGTGGTCAACCGTTCCTCAAACCGCTTAATCACTCGCGACACCGTGGAATTCGCGATTCCCAACGTTTTAGCGATGGAACGATGCGAGAGATCCTTGTTCTCGTGATGAATGCGCAAGATTTTATCACGCACGAGCTGTTCTTTCGACTCCATTTCCGCGAGTTTTGATCACAGGACTTTAAAACTTGCAGGATGTAAATAATGCACTATGAACTAAATCCACCCAAATTTTTATTAAATTCTACCCAACGGTTAAAAAGTTAGAGCAATTTCATAGTGTGGCAATTTCATCGTGGACACCCTTTAGTCTGAACGTACTATAAACGTACTATAAACATAATAGACTGAGCAGTGATAACATGTTATAAACTTATCTTGATGACATTTTTCTTGTCGATTATTATTATAACATGCCACCTCTCTGTAGTCCCTCCCCTTGGCTAGTTTTTTCCTGAGTACTGCGGAGTATATCGATTTCAGTTTGCAAGCCAATGGAAAACTGCTTGAAAATTTGTTCAAGTTTAAAATTGTTTTGTTCTTTCTCAGTTGATTCTCGCCAAAAGCTCTGAGCCAGGAGTGCTCGAGCCCCCATGACTCTATCAAAGTTTGTTTACATACATGTTTCGCCAAAGTATGTTTTACTCATATTGTAAACGCAGCTGAGTCTTAAAAACTATGCTGGTTTTCAGGGTTACTTCCACTCACTTCACTATAAAAAATGTTTTTCGAAATTATGGAATCAATGGATGCTATTATGAAAGTTTGTACTTGTCAGAAACAAGAAGAGGTTGGAAGGTATGTATTTGACACAAAAAACCTGTCAATTTTGCTTTCAGAGCGTCACAATCAGCGAATTTATGATTCGTGAGCGCTCACTCTGAGTCGCTGATTGTGACGCACTGAAAGCAATAATGACAAGTTATATGTGTCAAACGCCTAGTTTACAACCTTATCTTGTGACTTACAACTACTAACTATCATTATAATATCTAATAATTTCATAATTCCAAAAAAACATTTTTTTATAGTAAGTGAGTGAAAGCAAGCTTGCTGGTTTTTATACTCTTATCATTGAGCCTGTTGGTTTTTGTCTTTGAGCTTACAATTAAGAATGTGTTATGAAAAAGTTTAAATCATTTTTATGAGATTGCAATGCTTGACAGTAACTGAGTTTGTTGCTTCTGAATGTTTGGCTCCCGTTTGACAGTTCTGACTGGCTCCCAAGTGACAAGCACATTGAGTGAGTCCGCAGTACCCAGGTTTTTGCATCTTGCTGTTGGTGGGTGTGCTTAATTTCATGCTTTATAGTGGGGTGTTGGAGACGGTAGGTTTATGACCAGCGCTCTGGCTCATACCGCGATAGAATGGCGTCATTGACAGGCAATGGGGATTACTAAGCTTCCCTCTCTGATGAACCACTGCATGAGAAAATCAATAAAAGGGGTCCAGTGTAGAGTTTAAGCAAGTGTATGCTGCCACTGTGATCACTACAAAAAAAAAACTTGTCACATCTCTGTAGTCTGAACAAGGCATTAGCGTATGTCCTGCACGAAAACTCCATTGGATTATCAGGTAACAACTACAACAGCGATACGGAATGATTTCTAAAGTAATTTCACATACTTAGTACATGAAATTCCTTTGCTTTGAACGTGTTTAAGGTAGTCATATAAGATTGCACTATAAGAAAATCCAGTAAAAATTACCTACGTTCGTGATGATTATCGCTCACTAAAAGATTTATCTTATATGACAATCATATATATTTGGAGTGGTTTTTAACGATTTTTGACGTTTGTTAATATGTCTAGTGTGTAAACAGACATGTAGAAACTGTTAGATAGTCATTTATGTTTCCACTATAGGAAAACCTACTAACAAATAATTGTGTTTGGGATGAATACAGCTGAATCATAGACAAACAGACATAACTGTTAGAAGCAAATTATTTTAAAAATATCGTCAAACGTATTTTGCATGCACACTCGTACCAACAGTATTATCAAAGATGAATACTAAGATGAAACTGTCGGAAGAAAAACTTTCTATTTTAGTGTCCTCTTTCACGGTCCCTTTCATCCAATGAATACCCCCCGTATTCAAGGTAATTTTGTGGTTTTGCTGCCCCCTCGACAGAGATGAAATTTTGCGCTCATTTTTATCAAAACAAACACACCAAAATCAGAGGTGTCCCATTTTTTAATTACTCGATTAACAACTAATCGATTTTTTTTGTTCGCTGTGCTGCCATATTTCCATCAATGATAGTGCAGCACATGTTTGAAACGATCGGTGATGATCCTCTGGAGAAGTTAATGCTTATATCGGCATGATATAACCGATTACAAATATTTTACTTTTCGGTTCGTTAATCGATTAATCGATAATTCGAATGAAAATCGGCCATCACTAGATTAATGTGAAACGTCATTTCAAATATATGAAACGTACATAAATAATGATACAATTTGAAAGGGACCGGGGCTCATCACAAATTACGTCCTCACGGTAACTGAAATAAACACGAGTGTTCACCGGTTGGTATTATGTAGTTTATCTCAAGATTGATGTACCATATGATATGATAGAAGAAAGATATGTGATTTGAATTGAACGATTTTTTAATGCTTATTATAATTATTTTTAAATGGTTTCAAATCTTAAAATGCTTTTATTTTGCAAATGGAGCATTTTATTTAAATCTGGTTGATGCTATGTTAGTAGACAATTTAAGGACTACTCAATAGACATTTTTTTTTTTCCTTTGGTTTGTTTTCCGTCGATCTTGTTTTCCGTGCTGGGCATCAATGCTACCGACGCGCCAGGAAGGCAGCTCCCACACCTGGACCCTACCTATCGACCCATCAACTCATGAACCGGGGACCAACGGCTTTACTTCCCATCCGAAGGAAGGCGTGATCAGAGATGTTATGCCTCAGAACATCCCGGCGGCGCCGACTGGGATTGAACCCAGGCCTGCTGGGATGAGAGGTAAACACGCTTACCACTACACCACCGGCGCCCTTACTCAATAGACATATAATACAGAAAAAAATAATTTCTTTTCAGATTTTTAGGTGTACACATAGATTTGAGCTTTTCTACCACTGTAGCAGCAACCAGATTTAAATAAAATCGAAGACAACATATCAAGAAGACTGGTAACTCTTCTATTTTCTCATACAACCGGTATGAGACAGGCACAATTGCGTCATCTGCCGCTCAAAGGTAAATGCTCCTATAGAATTGGATAGCAAAGGTTCCATCCTCAGAAGAAAGGTTTGTGTATTTGCTCATTTTTCTATGCGTTGCTTCCACCTTCGCTCGAGCGCAGCGCTACTGTGTCTGTCGCTTGAATTCAGGCAATGTTGCCAGTTTTCTTGAAATGTTGTCTTCGATAAAATGCTCCATTTGCAAAATAAAAGCATTTTAAGATTGCACTCGTATACTTCCCCGTGGAAAATTTTGAAACCATCATCACTTTTATAGTTCTTCACACTCGTGCCAACTTTGATTTGCCAATACATTTTAATTAAATTGATTTATGACATGTATATGATATTGAAGTGAAAAGTATAGCTTATGCTTATGGGTTTCAAATCCATTTCAGTTTATTGTTATAATTTGACCAATTTTCATTTATCACATAAAAGTTATCAACTTATCAGCATTGTAAATGTATCAGATATTCATATAGAATTTACCTGACACATTTTCAACCATAGCGTTTTCATTGGATTTTCTTATAGCGTAAATTTATTAGACTTGATTGATCGATTGATTTGTCTTTATTAAGGAGGCTTTCAGCCTGAGGCTGGTTCGCCTCCACGCTTTTATTAGACTTCCACATAACAGGAATATTTCTTTTTGATTCAGTGTAGTGAGGTGACTCTCCGTGCAAATCAAATCACCTCACTCGCGGCGCAGAATAGGCCTCAATATCTGTGAAAAATCACCGAACTGTTAATCGAACGTTAAACTGTAAAGATTTCGGTAAAATTTCACAAAAATCTGTGAAATATTCTTACTGTGTACTCAAAATGTAATTAATGGCATTGAACATGTCGTTGAGGCACTCTAATTACGAAAGTACGATTGTAATTAACAAGTAGTCAACGGTCGGCAGAGTGTAATTAAAGCTGTAATTAAGGCAATTAGTTGCGGGTAAGGTATACGTATGGTCAGGATCCTGTGGATTTGAATGACGAATCTACTTACAACAATTGAAACTCAGTCACGATTTTCGTATGATTTGTTTTTATTTTTCGATTAAGTAACTTTTGTTTTTATAAACTTGCAATAAATTAAATTTCGGTATCGCACAATCAATTATTATTAACGAAAACTAATCGCGGGTAGCAGCTTTGCATAGCGAATCGTTATGCTTTCAAAGATTAGAGTAGAAACGACTGCTTAGCTATTATATTTTTTTTGTTTTATTGTCTGAGAGTAGCAAAAACAAATCGCGACTGTTTCTATGCCCTATTATTGGTACGGTGGATTTAGTAGGTAATACTGTGTGACGCTCGAAATTAATTATTTTTTAAATTTTTGTTGTCGGGAAAACAACTACCAATTGTGAAATAAATATTTGTTTAACTTTATGTAGTTTTGTTTTGGAAGGAAATTCGATACTGGTTTGCAGTATGGGTAAACTATGGCATAATCTGACTGACTGAAGCTTGTCGCTTATGTGTTAAGGTGGATGATGTTCGTAGCATCATGTTTAGTTGAGTTTTTCGATGATAGCGTTGGTGTATTCTGAACACTTGGCTTTGCCACCCAGATCGCCCGTCAGATATTTGGCCTCCTTGATAGTTTGGAAGCAGGCGCTCTGAATCTTATCAGCATGCTGGTTAAGTTCCATGTGCCTCAACATCATCACAGCCGACAGGAGGAGGGCAGTTGGGTTAGCCAGATCCTTTCCAGCGATATCGGGAGCAGTACCATGAACCGACTCGAATAGTGCACCGTTAAGACCCATGTTTCCGGATGGGGTCAGACCCAATCCACCGACCAAACCGGCGCACATATCTGACATGATGTCACCGTACAGATTTGGCATAACCTGGAATGAAAAATTCGTATGGTTTAGGTATGTTTTGATTGGACGCAGTGTTTTGCACGGTACAATTGGTCGGGTCCCATAGAAAAAAAATATACAATCACTCTCAACGCCAGTGTTTAGTGCGGTAAATGTTTCTACTAAAGATGACTTCTAAATGTATTAACCTTTCCATACGATCAATTTGATGACTATTTGTTGAGATATTGTTAAAAATCTAACACTGCTTGTTGATTCCAGTTTCGTCCAAACGCATCGATACGCCATTGGATTTTCTTCGTTACACGGAGAATGGTAGGTGAAAGTGATTCGCTAGGATTGCTTCTTTTGTTTTTAAGAGTGTAAATATTTATACTTCGCTCTCTGAGGTTACGAACCTATAAACATTCCCTAATAACATTGTTATGGTTATTTTGCTTAACGACGTGTTCCGGGTATCATCCAAACCATTCGAGAATAGTTGAACCATTTGTGTTACCATTCATTTATGGTATTTTTTCATTAGGGTATTCAAATGGTTCGTTATTTTTTGTCTAGATTATCTATAAAATTGTGCGTGGGAGTCCTAAGAGTGTCAACAAAATGACGTTTGAATCTTTGTTTACAACAGCAGATTCGTCCCTTTGAAAAAGTAACCATGATTTCTTGTATACATTCTTGTTCCGCCAGAGTTTTTTAAACTGGTTAAGAAATAACCCCCCCAATCAGTAGTCATAAACCTCTTGTCTAGTTACTCCTATCCCTATCTGCGCGCGGTGCCGGCTGGGGGTACGTATTACCATAGTAAAGATTAAGCAACCAACTCCGCTGGACCATGGTCGTGATAATAAATGAATCATCAGTCGATCTTTAACTTGGCCGTGGAACAATATTTTTATATTTTTTTCTTATAGAACCTTGAGAAAATAAGGTCTTATTTATGGTAAATTTGAACAATCTGGGATTTATTGCTTCATTTTCACCCTGGTAGAATGTCGTCCTAAAACTGCTCTACATTATGATTAATAGATAATTCAAGGATGAATTTTCAAAAGGATGTCTAAGCTTGCCCATGAAAACCAACACCACTATCAGGTACGGGAAATTTTCCCTGATTAGTATGAAAATTCATCCTTGAAATATTGACAGTCATGTTAGGGACAGGGTCATGTAGCACAACCCTGTGAACCATGTCAATAGACGTAAGTAAAGCAGTATTTTGGCATATAGGATACGGGATGCGTTTTGGTTGTTAAGCCAGTAGGGGAGTTGAGATGATTGTACTGAACCCTTGTAAAAAAGTGGTCTAGGTATTGACTCTACTTACCAAGACATCGAATTTGCTCGGATCTTGGACCATGTTCAAACACACAGTATCCAGGTACTTTTCTTCGAATTTGATTTCTGGGTATTTCTTGGCCATGTCACGGCAGCATCTGAGGAACAAACCATCCGACATACGCATAATATTGGCCTTGTGAACGACGGTGACCTTCTTGCGGTGGTTGTCTTTGGCGTATTTGAATGCGTACTCGGCCACTCGGTTGGATGCCTCCTCGGTGATCAACTTGATACTCTGGACAACACCATCAACGATTTCGTGCTCGATACCGGAATATTCACCCTCAGTATTCTCACGGATTGTAACGACATCGACGTTATCATACAAAGTTTTGTAGCTAAAACGAAATGATTAATAAGCATAAGCTCTACTAAGCATTGCACTCTTCACAACTTACCCTTCCAAGCTTCTGCAAGGACGCACATTGGCATACAGATTGAATTCCTTCCTAAGAGCTAAGTTGAGCGAACGATGGCCCTTGCCAATCGGAGTCATCAGCGGTCCCTTAAGGCCAACTTTGTTGCGATTCACCGAATCAATGGCACTTTGCGGGATGCCGAATTTGCCATCAGGATTCTTGAAAAAGAGGCAACCATTTTTGATAAGTTTCACCTTGATGACACCACAGAGCGATAACAATCGTGACTTACCCTTACGGGAGTGACATCGACTGCCTCCCATTCAATCGGTACATTGGCGGCAGTGAAAATCTTTTGAACTGCAGCGGAGATTTCCGGTCCGATTCCGTCGCCGGGGATCAATGTGACCTTTCTCACACCAGAGGCATAGCCACGTCCACCAAACGGAGTGGAAGCCTAGAAGTAAATGGTAGAATTTTCGAAATAACATGTAAGGCGGTACTTGCTCACGGCCATTGCAAATCTGTTACGTAACTTAAAATTAGTTTCAATGAAAATATGTCTCGAGCTGTTGTTCTATGTCTTGCATTAAATCGGATAAATCCAACTTGAATTATATGCGGAATAGATAATAATTTAACTAAATATTTATTTACTTGGACAATTGGCTCGTTTTTATTTTGCTTTTCTTCGGGAGAAGGCGAGGTTATGTAAATCTTGACCCAATTGTCCTTCACTTTTTGCGACAAACTTTTGAGAAAATTTTCAGCATCTGTTCCCAACTAAAGGAAGAAATTATGAACAAAATTTAACAATAACTCCAGATTCACTTCAAATTGTTTGGATTATAAAAAAGGGTTTTAAACAGAAACAGGCTGCTCCTGCAGCTGGAGGGCAAGGCAAGGCAGTAAAAATCAAAACACCAATCACATAACTAAACTACATTTTACGGAGTAAGAATTCACCGGGACAAACACTACAATTTCTTACAATTTTCTTAATTAAACGTGCTGCCATTGCTTGCACAGATTTTCTTCACAAACGTACACGACTGGAGTGAACAAAATTTTTTGGTTTTTTCCCGGAGTTCTGACAGCGAAGGACTGATGCGAAAACTACGGCAGATCGAAAATCGAATTTGACAGCGATGGAAGAGAAAACGAGAAGAAAAAGGTAACAGTCACTTTGCAAGTGACATTTTTCCTTGGATTCGTGGTTCACTTGCTTCGTGTACACGTTATTGAAAAACTATCCAATATAAGGTTGTTAACCAGCGTCTATGGTTGAAAGCGTTCAAAGTGTGTCAAAGGCCCAAGCCTAATGACAGCGGAAGCGGAACGACAGCGGCAGCGGAAAAGCCCGATCTGAGTAAGCCTACCCTAATAAAAAATAACCATAAACGAACGATAACCCAAATCATTGAACTATTCCACAAATGGTTTGGATGATACCCAGAACACGTCGTTAAGCAAATTAACCATACAATTTTTATTAGGGTACTTGTCGGATTGAAAACTAGTTAGAACCAAATCGACTTCGGTTAGGCATCTTGATGTCATTTGTGACAACTGTCAAACTTTCTGTTTCCGTTCCGCTCCGTCCATATTGCGTTTAGGCCTTAACTCTCAATTTCACTTAGCTAAACCAATTTTGAGTAAAAAACAATGGGAACGATACCTCGAACGATACAACCTACTTACCTCTATGATACAACCATAGAGGTAACTCTAAGACTAGAAGGTTCCGAAATAACGTGCTCAACTTTTTGCCTCAGCTCTGGTACTCTTTTCGGTCCCAAGCTAATCGATTCACCCCTCGAAATATAGGAAAATCCACTAACCCCTCATTTTATCTGTCAAACTTTCATAGCGAATCAAAACAAACATTGCGTAGTACTAGAATTTCGACTAGAATGGGGTACGTTAATCGTTTGCTTGGGACCAATAGGCTAGTCAAGTAGTGAGCCATCGTAAAAAAAAAAAAAAAAAAAAAAAATCGTTAGTTTCGTATTGATTGTTGTTATAACCACAAACGAAGTGACAGACGACTAACTGGCGAAGAAATCCATTTAAATAATGTGGTTCACTGTAATAGAATTTTCTTGGAAGCTTGTGCCATCATCCACCAGATGGGCTAGTTTTTTTGTTTTGATTTGAACAAAGTTGATTTTGTGTACAATGATTCTTTGACAGTGTGCAAAGAGTGCGTATCATTTTGTCATTTTTTTATGCATTTCGGTTTTGAGTAGAGTGAAAGAGATAGAACCAAAACATTCTAGTACATTTGGTGAAAATGCTAGTTCAATCTAGTAGTACACACAAAAAACTATCGTTAGTAAAATTGAAAAATCCATTGGTAGAATTAAAAGTTATCGTTGGTTCTTTTTGGTAGAAAGTCTTTAGCTTTCAAAACAAAAGTCAGCTAACTGTCAATTCAAAAGTAACTCGTTTTTTACTTTTAAAAGTTGAAACTTTCAAATCGAATTGTAGAACTGTCAATATAAAAACCTATTTTGTTAAATAGACTCATGAAAGGATTTAATTTAAAAGATGGGCAGTTTTATCTTATAACTCTGTAGTCTGAACAAGGCATTATACCTCAGACAAACTGACATAACACATGGAATATTTATCACTGAACACGCAGAAAAAACTATCGTCAAAACAAAAAATATTTGAGGTAAATTTAAACGTAAACTCAGTTTGTTCTATGGCCACAAAAATAAGTTAGGTTGATTTCAAACGTATTCCATGTTTGAAGTCATGTGAAATCAATGTTTAAAATAAAAATAATGTTACGTTTATTTTAAAAATATTCGTGTTGAAAACAAACGTATTTGTTTTTGTTTGGTTTGACAGCTATGCGAACAAAAATATATATTTGAATTTTTAACATGCTTCTCATGTTTAAAATAAACATACATATTTTGATATTATTTTAATAGTTGAGTGCAGGTTAAAGCAAGATAAAACGCATTGCAAAGAAATGAAAGAAAAAAAGATCTTCGGGCGGGCATCTAAATTCCTGCTCTTTCACCCTGCAATTAAGGGTGACCTGTGGGTATTGGGGTCCTGAGCTGGAATGCAGGGACCCGTCGGATTGGGTGTCCGGGTGTTCCAGTTCAGTGGAACCGGTGAAAATTTGTTATATTAGCGTCGTTTTTGTTGTTATGCCACTAGTCCTCATACCGGTTTCTTTATACATTCGGTGTCCGAGGAGGATCCGGAAGGGATTAAAAATCCATTTCGGATTTTCGTCGTCCTTTCGAACGAGGGGCGATTCACTTGTGTATTTTCGATTCAGGCCAACGTATTGATGAACGTATTGAAGTATTTTTTTTATCGAATAAACGTGTATTTTGTGTAATAATGTATTTTTTTGTATTTTTTGAATATATGTATTTTTTTTTGTGTATTAGAAAAATAAAAGTGTATTTTTATGCATTAATGTATTGATATAAGTGTATTCTGTCATTTCAGTGTTTATGTTTACTACTCGAACCGAGGATCAAACGGATCAAACTCACAATGTTGACGTTTTGTTTGACAAATGCACAACACACGTGAACTTTAAAATACCCACTGATGAGTAGAATTTCACCCATTTTAAAGAAAAGAGGCTTAACTCATTAACTACGTAGACAGTTTTTTTGGGTTTCCTTGCCCCCCCCCCCCTTAAAAACCTGCGTAGACAAATGTCCAGACAAAATTTTTAAAATTTGTATGGGCCGCGAATAATTGCCATCCCCCCTTAATTGTCTACGTAGATTATGAACAGCCCCTTACCTCGCTCATTACGCATTAATAAGCATCTGTTACATTACGCTACATCTGTTACATTACGCATTAATGAATTATCGTTACTTATTTGTGGCTCACAACTACTCAAAATGTTTTTTTTATTTAATAAATGATTTAAGGCACTTTTCTTAAAAATGGGCGAAATTGTACTCATTAATGCATTGTTTTGTGATTCAAGCTCGGATTAAAACACAAAATAATAAATTTACGCATTTTGTTCGAATTCAGCATTTTGATTGTACATATTTTCGATTTTTTCGTGCAAATGACGAATTATCGTGTATTTTTATTATTCGTCGAATATTTTTGTATTTTTTTTCCGAATTTTGTATTTTTTTGCATTTTTTTGAATAATGACGAGTAATGATGAATTTTTGTGTATTTTTTTCATTAACGTATTTTCGATTCATTCTCGAGAGCAGTGAATTGCCCCTCGCTTTCGAAGTCACGTGTGGAGGAGGATGATATAGGGATCGGCATCAGAAACTGAAGTTGATACTGTGGGATTCTGCCGGTTTGTGGAGCTGGTTTCCGGATCCATCTTCGGTTTTGCCACTTTCGGGCCGTTTTTTGTTGAGTTGAGCAAAGGTGGGGCAACTTTTTCCGAATGTAACAAGAAGGAAATAAAAAGGCATGACACGCTAAAAACCGTTTACCCAAATGCTATATTGTTGAAATAAACATGCTTTTGAATTTAATTCAAACAAACATATTTGTGTTTTAAACATGCTTTCAATTTACTTTGAATAATTCATATGTTTAGAGTATAAACATTTATATTTTTGTTTTAAATGAACAAAATTTGTATCCGTGAAAAACACCGTAAACTATCGTCATCTGTGGAGTGCACTATCATGGGTAGCACGCTGAACAGATGGCAATAGTTTTTAAACGTCAAACGCCACAGGTGGCGATGCTACCGACCATAAAAACTTTAAATTGCTTAGTCGATGAAAAGTATGCGTGCAAAAATTTAGCCCACCCCCCCTTTTCGAAACCTGGCTACGCCCTTGAGGATTATAGCCATGGCTGCTACATCTTCGTTACATTATTTTAAAAATTGCGTTGACTTAAGCTTTAGTTTGGGTCTTAAACAGTTAAACATATGACGCAATACTGTATACTCGATGCATGACCGTACTAAATTATTATTGTGATCTATGTTGATTAAAAATAATGGTATTTTGGAATACAAGAATCCCCCGATTAGTGCGATGGGTGGTGCATTCTACCCACCACTATTTATCGACTGTCCTCGAACTAATTGAGCTAATTTTTTGTTTGTGATTGGTGTCAATGATATACAGTAACCCCTCCGTTTATGCGGTGGGTGGTACCGCCCACCTACCGCTATTTAGCTAATTTTGCTGATTTTCTGTAGATAACTAGTTTATGGTTGACACTAATCACACAAAAAAAAAAATCAATGTAATTGCTTGAAGGACAACCGAGAAATAGCGGTGGGTGGACGGTACCACCCACCGCATATATGGAGGGAATGTTGTAAAATCAGCTCAATCGGTAGGACAGCCGAGAACGAGATTCATGTACCTATATGCTAGAGTTTGAACATTTTCTTGAAGTGCAAAGTGGACATCAAAGCAAAGTGACCATTTATTTATTTAAACTCATTGAATGATTGACAGTTTTACTATGATTTTTCCTACAAAGAAGGTACCATATTTTAGTATTCAGTAAATCTAATATCTCGTGTATCGTAATATTTATGAAATAAATTACGAGACACGAGTTATTAGATTTACTTAATACTAAGTTAAGTTAAGTTTTCTTTATTAGGGAGGCTTTCAGCCTGAGGCTGGTTCGCCTCCGTTAATACTAAAATATGGTTCCTTAATTGTAGGAAAAATCAGAGTTTTACAGGTGTCATTTCAAATTTAACAATCTAAAATAGTTCAATTGCGTTCGATTGCCTGATTTGTTCTGGATAAGTATCGTAACAAATGCATACCTACCATATACATACTTCACGTGCCGAATCATCTCTCGTTTTTGTCACATTCAGTAAAGTGTGACACATATCTTCCTTTGTTATGCTCCGTACCATATGAAAAAGTTACAGTTAAATTAGTACTCGTTCGACTGTGCTTCAGGGAAGAATGAAAGGAACACCGCTCGTTCTCGTTGTTTTATTTTCCGTTGCTTCGCTTCATAATTGCTGTAATATAACACAATTCTCAGGCAGATATTCAACATTTTACGTAAATACGATCGTGAACATCCTGCATGGTTATTCCAAAGATGATCATCTCCTAGCTCAAATCAGTTCAATGACGTCGAATTCAGAAGAAGCATTTCATCAACATTA